TCGAAGTAACTTGTATATATAGAGCTCTTTTTCTTCTTCTGTCTCCTATCACACGAACATTTTGTTCTGCCCACACCAGTTTCCTATCATCTTCTGCTGAATAATGAGTTAGTCCTTTCACATGATACGTCGAAATACGACAGTAAACTACATTTAATGGTCTTCTTGAATTTGAAGTTCTTCCAGTACGTAGTTTTTCCAGTACGTCATTGAGTGTAAATCGATCATGCTTCAGGATATTTATATGAGGCGATATATCTATTACTATTATACGAGTAAGCATGCCTGTAAAAAACAAAACGTTTAAAATCGATAATAGAACTGGAATTGGATTCCGAGATTCCGGGTGATTCCGAGAGAACGGTGGATGGAGATGATAATTGTTATTTATTACAACCGTAAATTTGTATTTTAGAAAATTGATGTCAACGACCTTTGTAATCTGTCTATCGTCAATTGTGATATTTTCACTTACGCAGATGACACTGTACTAGTGACATATGGTAAGAGTTGGGATGACGCTAAATTACACATTGAAAACGCCTTACGGAGAGTAATGCATTGGTTAGCAAGTAACCTACTAACGTTAAATGTTTCAAAGACCAAATTTTTACGTTTTATTCTGCCACACACAAACCTGTTGAAGGAACCGGCAATCTAATAGCTCATAACTGTCCGCATAACAGTGAAGCTTGTACCTGTCTGTCGTTGACTAGGGTTGAATCCATAAAATATCTCGGAGTGTTCGTCGATCACAAACTAGACTGGACCACTCAATTAGAGTCATTAACTTCTCGTATCAGAAGACTTATATATATATATATTTAAAAACCTAAGGTTCTCAGTGGATAACAATACTCTCCGAATGGTTTACCTGGCTCTGTGTCAATCCATCCTGACGTACTGTATACCTGTGTGGGGGGGAACTCATAAAACTGAGTTACTTAAGTTAGAAAGGGCTCAAAGGGAATTGTTAAAAATAATTTATTTTAAACCACGTGACTACCCGACGTATATGTTATACTCAGATTGTAATGTCCTATCTGTTGTTTATTTTATATCTTAAGACAATTGTATATCTTAAGATCCATCCACCGCAAGCATTCTATGATTTCGTTCAAAAAGCAGCTTGTTAGTCAGCGACGTCGTGGCTTTCCTTTATGTCCAACTGTCTCCTACAGGACTGCTTTTGCAAGACGACAGTTTAATGGCCTAAGTGCTAGACTCTACAACAAAGCCCACAAACAATTAAATATTTACGCATTGACTAAGAGTGAGGTAAAAAAAAACTTATTTCCTGGCTACAGACGTTAACATATAGTGATACCGAGGAGCTTCTAACCACTGTACAGTAGAATGAGATTTTACACACACACACACACACACACACACACACACTCACACACACACACAGACAGACACTTCTTGTTTTATTTTAATTCTTTAATAACATAAGTACTTTGTTCGCCCACTGCATGTACCAAAATTTTATTTTTGTAACCGATATAAGACATTATAAATGGATACTCTTACCTAAGATACAGACAGGTTCCCTGCCTAGTTTAGAAAAGAGAGTCCTATGACTATTGTATATATGTTGTACTGGTTTTTTCTAGTAAATTTAGGTATTATAAGACAACACTGTATGCCATGTACAAATTACTTACTTGAATAAATTATTATTATTATTACTAATATTAAGATGGTTAAAGTAAAAGTGCAAGACATAAAAAGTAAATTGATTGACACTGATTAAAATGAAATTATCGTTTTTTGTGTCTAATTAAAAACTCACTATTACCAAAAATTTCATTTTGGTGAAAAACATTACGTCAGCAAGATCATCAAACGCATCAATTCCGCATCTAAACCAACCAAAATTATCCAAAGAACCTGAGATATCCAAATAATCACGGCTGGATATCAGTTCTATAACCCTTGTGTCCCAACCTACATTATTATATTTGTTACTAAGTACACTGTTTATACGAGTATGATTTAGTTATAATATTGTACATTAATAAAATTTTAAGAATCAAAACTGTTTAATATATATTTGACCAGGAACTGTATAGAAAAGATAGAACTTAGCAAAGTTCAGTTTTTTATATTATAGGGATGGCAAATGAGCAGACGGGTCACCCGATAATAAGTAACTATCACCACCTGCAATTCAAGAGTCAAAGAGTGAGTTACCTTGAGCCCCCCTTCCTCCAGAACCAGAGGGAGTAGGAGTTTGGGCTACTTCAACCTCACTCCTCAGTGAAAAGCAACGAAACGTTTCTTAAAAAGTGGCTTTCTGTGACGTCGGATTATCTCTCCGACCGTCGTGGTATTCTGATATTTCAATTGGCGCTTTATGCATAAATTACAACTCACTCGTACAATAGCGAACTTAATGCCACGAGCACTTTCTCGCAGTCAACCTTTGGCTGGTGGGGACATGTCTGAGTAGGTGCACTAGAAATTAAGTTTTTTTTTAAAAAGATAATAAATATACATACTTAATTGAGGAGATAGGCAGAAACAATCTCAGTCAGTATTTTCTTTATTTCGTACTCGTATATCGTTGTTTTTAACTCGTAAGTGGTTCACAGATATTCACCAACCCACTTATGTCCTAAGTTCGAAATATGACAGAGAACAAAGTTCAGTTAATAGTGCTATCTTAACAACATAAAACACTAGAAATGAAAACAAGAAGCTCTCTTGTTGGTTTCATTTTAAGACTAAAAATCCTGAGGTTTTTGATAAACACAACAAAACAGACTCTATACTAACCCATCTGGCCCGCATGTTGTAGTATGCCAAAACCTCCTTTCTAAGGAGAGGCCTATGTCCAGCAGTGGACTATTAAAGGCTGTTGATGATGATGATGAGATTTTTTTACTCGCAGGATGAAACCTATACCAGTTTTTCTCAATATTAATTTCGATACTAATTCACAATCATCCACTGGCCTGAAACGCGATCGCACTTACTGTCAAGAAAAACTTAAGAATGATCGAACTTACAAAAACTAAGTGAAATTTTAGATATCTTTAGCACAAATATAAAAAATCAGAGACCCAACTAAAACCCCTGTGGCATTCCCGATAAGGCAATTGTAAAAATAAGTTACTTCTGATTCCTTACTATAGTTTACAAGAACTATACAGCACTTGCTTTGTGTATTGACCTGTCATCAGCCTATTGCCGTCCACTGCTGAATTGAGGCCTCCCCAAGGAGCGCCATCCATCCATTGTCCTATGTCATGCACAAATAAGGTACTTGCATACAGGTTTCGTATTTTAAACTAAAGATGGGTAAGATTGCCTGCATGGATGGCGGAATAGTTTAAGCGGTCACCTCACCGTTTCCTACTGCGCTGAGTGTTGCCAGTTCGATCACCATATGGGAAAACACTTTATGTGATCCACAAATTGTTGTTCTAAGTCTGGGTGATCTTTGTGTCCGTTTCATAAATATTTGTAGAGTTCATAGCGACAGGATATATATTTCTAGTACGAGAGTTATCTTTATCGTTTTAAAAAAGGTAACAAAGATTTTTTTGTAAAAGAATGTGCATGAACGTAACCTGTTTCTAAATCCTAAGACGCTTTTGAAGTGTATCATGTAATACCAATAGTTAAATTGCATTGCGGAGAAGAAGAAGAAGAAAAAGTCCTTCTGCTTTTCAACGTCTTTCTTTTTTTACAAACGGATTTGATGACGATGTAGAGTTATGGTGATGACATTATTATTTATTTATTTTAATATGGCCTAGCTACCCTAGGTAGGTGTATTATCTGGAGGGTCCTAGCTTGTGATGTTTTTTTTGTATTACTAATGCAAATAACAAGCAAGATTCAGACAATGGCGTTGTTATGGGTAGCTATTGACTAAAGGATATTTAATCTTGATTTCTCCGTCTATAGTCCAGTCGATATACTTGGTCTATAAGGTACACTTGTATTTCCTGAAGGTCTTTTTAAGTAGTTAAAGTCAATTTGAAAAAAAAAACACTTGATAATACAATAGTTAAGTTGTGTGAAGTCAAGATTTAAGAGGCAAAGAGTTAACAGGTGAGTTGTTTGTATTATATTAAGGCTATTTTAATGTTATATTTGGTTGTGTATTGTGTAGAACGGTGTATAATTTCATTATTAATGGTAAGAGGAGCAAATTGCAGTATAGCTTTATTTTAAAAAACATTTTGGTAAAGGCGACTGTACAAGTGACGTAGGCTACACATTCCCATTACTCTTGTTATTATACTGCTAAGCTAAATGATTTCTAAATAATACTAATGCTACCTAAACGCAATCACTTGATCGCATTATATGAAGTAGTGACAGTTGCTATCGAAATATTGTTTTGATAGTCCAATTTATAATGCATCATCACATCACATCAACAGCCTATAATAGTCCACTGCTGGACATAGGCCTCTCCTTAGAAAGGAGGTTTTGGCCTACTATACCACGCTGGCAAGACGGGTTGGTATAGGGTTTGTGTCAAGTTTTCCTTCTCTTTGTAGTGCTGTTGTCCTGAGTAGTTTGCTCCCTTAGTCGGCTCTTACGACACCCACGGGATGAATAGGGGTGGTGACATTCCGTATTCTTAATCCGTCACCACACTTCGTATGAGGTTATTTACTCAGAAATAACTGTTGAACGATATAAATCTGGGCATATTTGTGAAAGTGGGATAGTAGACGTTGATTTTTTCGGCCAATGATAGTGGTGGTGGCCTTTAGTATCGGAGATTTTAATTGTCTTATAAGAAATGTATTGCTTTTTTCGGGTTCTTTCTTTATTTGATCATGTTCCGAATGTAAATTAAAAGATGATATGAGGTATGAGTAGACTTACCTTATATTAATGAGTTACCTTGCCCTATTTTATATCGACTAGAGTATTAACATGTTTGTGTAAAATTTGTATTTTAAGTTTTAAAGACATGTTACGATTTTTTAATGCTTTTACTGCCTGTAAGTTAAATTTCAGTATATTTCAGGATGACTACTACAGCATTATTACTATTAATCAAATTGACTGTTATTCAATTTGCCAACTCACATCATCTCAACAGCAACTGTGACTTCTATGAAAAGGTAAGTGTTACAAATTTTAATCATTTTTATAAAAATGGTAATAGTATCAGTAAATAGTATTGATTAAAGGCGATATATCAATGTTCTTAACAATAACATAAGATGAGAAACACAGATTAATAAACAAAACATAATAATATGTAAATGTATTAAGTTTTTCTTTTACATCCAAAACATATATTTCATTGCCACAGCCGCTAGTCAACATTGTCTTCCACTCGCCGCATTCTGCTACCGCTTGTAATTTACAATGCCGTGTGAATATTTTCTAACTTTTATTCTTTCACCTTCTATGTTTCGTATTTATATCAACTTGTGTGTTCAATGTTAAAACTGTTTTCCGCACTCCCTCTAATATGTGTAAAAAATCCTTCAACACTTTAAGTGGGTTTTTCTTTCGCTTCTCACTATACGTTCACCACGCACACACAAATACTCTATTCGTTAGTTTAAAACACAAATTGAGTAAAAATTATTATCAGAATATATCATGAAAGGATTGCATAAAAATATTTAAAATAAATAATGTAAGTTCTTCATCATCGTAACCTTTCATTCATTAATGGATGTGTCTTAATTAAGGTATCTTATCCAAACCAATCACTTGGTAAACTAAATTTTTTCCATTTTCGTACTTAAAACTTTTAGTCGAGGTGTAGTACACACATACGAGTATATTTTTAATTTTTTGATGTCAAGATAGAATGATGTATCATTAATTTCTTTTTAAATTATGACAGATAAATATTGGTCAGAAGACTGTCATCTCGAATCCAGCATGGCCGAGCCCATACAGCCCGGGCGGCACCTGTCGGTGGATATTCGACTGTCACACTGGCTACATCTGCCGATTGCGATGCCGTGAAATTGGCCTTCCAGCAGTAAGTCGTTTGAAACTTAAATATTGATAAAATACACATAATAGACCACATGGGTTTATGCTGAAAAGTGACTGATTTCATTATTGATTGATTGCTTTAGTTTGCAGTAAAATAGCTTTTGTAAAATGTTAATATTTGAAGATACTTCTCCGTAATTTTATGTCATTTTATTAATTTTACTGTTATAGTTCTGCCTCATCATCATTATCATCATCGACAACCTTTAGTAGTCCACTGCTGGACATAGGCCTTTCCTTAGACAGGAGCTTACGGGCCTGCTATACCACGCTGGTCAGACGGGTCGGTATAGGGTTTGTTTCAAGTTTTCCTCCTCTTTGCATTGCTGTTGTCTTGTGTGGTTGCTCCCTTAGTCGACTGTTACGACACCACCGGGATGAATATGGGTGGTGACACTACCTATTTTTTTTTCTCCTAAAGTTCTACTAGCAACCGAAATTACTAGTATTCCCGTTAACCCCTCCCTCTAAGCTAAATAGCTTATGTTAGTGTGGGTAGGAGTGGGTTCACGTCGGTAGTGTACTGGTCAGGATTCGTACCCACTCGCAAGTCCAATGCCTCAACCACTAAGCTACCGCCGCTCACACACCACCACTCATACAACCGTCACACACACAAATAAGTTCTGCCTTTTATAATATAGGCTCTGCCTAGTTTGGGGCCAGACTGCCGTGTGTGAGATGTGTGACGTTATTATTATTGGCTGGTAAATCTTACAATAAATATACAAATGGTTGTATAACATATTTTTTGTGTGTTGACCTGTGTACATAATATGCTAACAAGTATATTTTACTTTTAGACTCCGAATTGTTACATGGATAAGCTGCTAGTATCTGCCACTGGTAGTTCACAACTAAGGGATGCCCGCGTCTATTGCGGCCAAACAAATATCAACGTCAGGTCCATTGAAACTAGACTAAGTATAGGTAATTTTATTTGTTTTTTTTACTTTCCAACATGTGTGGAGCATGGACTCAATAGATGACGTAGTGGCTCTCTTTGATAACTTAGCTAAAAATAGAATATGTAAAAGGTATTTCATCATTCAATAGTTTTGTAGCTATTTGTAATGGAAGTGTAATGTAGTGATTTTGTAATGGAAGTATATGTAACGGAAGTCTAGGAAGCCAACGTTATTGGATTTTCCCAATGACGTCACAATAGATGTCACTGTTACACATGAGATATATTGACATCAGACATCTTTAAAGATATATTTTTTCGAAAATGGTTTGATTTTTACCTCGATTTTTCTTGTGTGTGTAATAGCTTCTGAATTTCGGTTAAAATTTGGTGACTAGAAATGTAGAAGATAAAAACAAATGAAATGCTCAAAGCTCTAAACTTGAGAGTTGTGACTAAAAAACCAACATGAGAAATATTAATGTACTTTGTTTCAGCTTTGATTACTAGCAGATTCAGCCCAGGTGGAAGATTCAGATGCACTGTGAGATCTGAACAGTGGGCGCATCCGTGGTACCGAGCCAGATGTGGGCCGTATTGTGACCAAAGCTATGTACACTGAGTAATAAATGGAACCACATAAAATGAACAAAATAACCCCAACATATTCTCTGTCGTTTTTGTACAGTCAGTAAACCTACATAAAATGCTGTTAAATGTCGATTCTGTAATTTTACATCGACTTGATTTTTAATCGATTTTTAAATGTTTCACAGTTATATTTAGAATAGATAGACATGTTAATTGTCTAATTACTTGCATATTTCAATTGTAATACTTAATGTTCTTAATAAAAATATTGGCATACGTGTTATAAGCGAAGCATTCTAGAGCAATTCTTTTTTCTAAGTGTGTCAAATTGTTGCTAGTGCAAAAACAATATTAAGTCAGTACGGCTCGGTTTCGAAAGCGATAACTCAGAGGCGTAGATTATGTATGAGTCAATTCAAAATTAGAATGGTTTCAATTCCATCAAAAGGTTAGGATTGTTTTTATTTTTTTTGGGTATTTCGTTATAATTGTTTGTTATTTGTTATTAATTAATTAAATTAAACGATAATTTGTTATTTTATATCTAAGACCACATTGTGAGAGGAATAGAATAAATAAATGAAATGAAAAATTAAAAGGTATCACATTCACAAAGGTTTCAACATCTAATGTATTATGTGATGTATTGTTTACTTCATGTTACGACCTATATTTTTTATAATTAGTTGTAAATCATTAATTAAATTTAAATAAAACGAATTAACAGTTCATATTTTTAGTTTTTCTTGTTTTGGCATCTTCCTCAGACAAAAGGCAATGCTATAAAACTTTTTAACACGCTTTTATTGGTTTGGTACGTGTTGTGTTTCTATTTATCTATGTATGTAACGGAATCTTTAAACCTGATTTTGACCCACGTTTAAATCGTCGAATTAAATTTATACTTCGCACACTTATCAAGGACCGATGACGATATAATAATTTGATAAATTTGGCCAATTATCCTGATCAGGATTAACGGCTTTTTCTATACCTAAAATACTGTAGTGTCTTTTGCGTACTCAGAGGTATGCGCTGAATCAGATGCGACTTACTTACTTGTTACTTTTTTAGTCTTAATGAGAAAATAATTATCATTAATGACTAAAAAAGAAAAAAAATATATAATAAAAAAAAAAAAACGAAAAAACACTCCCTAACTTCAAAAAGAAAAACTATATTAGGTATAGTAAAAAAGCGTGGGGTGCTTTTCAAGATACTTTATACTATAATAACTTTACTTTCACCAAAACCTGTCAAAAAAATATTTACAATAATTACAATACTTGAACTGAATTGAATCTAGCACCATTTTACGATAAAATGATTTTTCTTTTTGAACTTATGAAAAATAATAAAATTAGATTATTTTTTCTCTAGCCGTTATAAGACCTTTCTGTTTAGTATTATTCATTAGCATTAGCACCATAAAACAAATAAGTCATGCTCTTATTGGACGAGCGAGATACTCGTAGGTCTCGCCTTAACACTTTTTTTTATTATGGTATAAGGGGGCAAACGAGCAGACGGGTCACCTGATGGTAAGCAACTACCGCCGCCCATGGACACCTGCATCTCAAAAGTCACAAGTACGTTGCAGCCCTTGCAGTCCCTCTCGCTCGAGTCAGCGGAGGGGAGGGGGGATTTGGGCTCCGGTAACCTCACTCACTCAGTGAAAGGCTACGAAATACTTCCTTAACACAAGGTTTCCTGAGAGGCCGTCGTATCACACTGGTCGAGCCGGCCCATTCGTGCCGAAGCATTGCTCTCCGATGGCAAATTAGTTTTACCATGTCACAAAATTAGTTTTTCCTAAATTAGACCCACTTGACCGTGTATTATTGCTAAAGGCAGATATGACAAACGAATTCAAAACCCGAAAATGTTAAACACCTAAATACCTACTCCGTCTGCTTTTCATTGTAAAAAATTATTGAAAAAGTAAATACAGGCACTCAAACAACAGTTTTATCAAATCTAAACATCTTAATTACAGAAAGGCATCGAACAATAATCTCTGGACCATTAACAATATATGTATGTAACCCTTAGCAAGTAAGCGCACAGCTTATTCAAAGTATGTACTACTTTGAATAAACTGTGCGCTTTTTATGAAGCTTTTTGGCCCGCACAACCAATCTGTGGTACTAATTGTCGCTTGCGATTTTCCTGGATCAATACGAACTCTAAACCTTCATGAAGAGCGTCCTCCCATCTCAAAGTCCGGTAATGTGCTTGTAACCACAGAATATTATTCCTTTTTTTGTGCTTGTGACTCTTATATGCGTTCATAGACGGCGGTAGTCACTTTCCATCAGATGACCCGTCTGCTCGTTTGCCTTCCATATCATATAATAATATTACATCGTTTAATATATATTTGTAGTCTTCAAATTATCATAAAATAATAAAATCTTCATTCTTATCTAAGAACTTTATTCTCTTTAAATAGTGATCAGAGGGCATAGTGTGAGTATATTTCACATCTACTAAATCGTCACGATTGGTCCGCACTGAAATCTTCACCAATAGCAACGCCGAACGCTCTCGCCGTTGAGAGCGAGTTGATGTGAAGTAACCTCACACTAGGTAAATTCACAACTACTCGATCGTCACGGTAACTGCGTTCACATCGTCACGTTGCGTGTTTATCTGAAGTTTGGTTACCAATGTGCCATACTATTATAACCAGACTAATTTAGGGATTAGACAGGCGGGCGTAGGATGTGTGAGTTTCTTGCGGATAAAAATTACGTACCGAGACCTCCCCTCTCCCCTAAGTAAGATTAGATGACATTCGGCTAGACCCCCTCCCCCCCGAACGCCTCACGTAATTAATGGACGCCCCCTAACATGACGATGATTGGGGTCAGTATTTTTTTTAAAGTGAAAAGATCGTACTGTACTGCTGAACTTCACATTCGATAGATATGTTATCGTATTACACATATGTATGTATACTCGCACATAAAATATTTTTGCCAAATCCAGTAAACTGTAAACAGGAAACTGGAATTTGAAGGGTTCTATTTTCTAAATGAATAACAGGAATATGAACAAAATCTACCAAGTTAAATTATTTTATATTTATTTATAACATTTGAAAAAGAAAAATTAAATATAAATCAGAAGTGAAATAATAAAAGTTGCACTGTAGGTAATGTTATCGTAATACTGGAAGATGTTTTTGGCTTTTTTTTTTAATTAATGCCTTTTGCCTTACAATAAAATTAATTGTTATACTTACCACTGTTGAATAAACTATCAAATACATAGTAAGAAATATCTTTCTACGTAGAAAATCTACAATTTATTTGCCACTGTAAAATATTCAGTTTTTCATCTCATGTAAAAATTATATGATCATCTGATGATCTTTTCTTAAAATAGGCATTTTTTAATGTTATTTTGGGCTCTAACACTCATTACAATTGCATTCCTGCAACAAATGTTAGTAAAATAAAGGTTTCGTTTTGTGGTATAATTAGAATTTACACTTTTTTTTGTAATATTTAAATTGTATTTTGTATATGTCACAATGAATTACTCCCTTCTTAAGTAATCTTATTTCTACACATCACTACACATAAGCTTATCTAATGAATTTCACTGAATTTTCTGACACAACTATATTAGGTTTAAAAAAAATTGTAATGTTCAGACACTACTAATATTTCAAACTTCTAAATAACTACTCTTAAAAACTATATCTAATTCTTCATAAAAACAAACATGGTAACAAATAAAAGTACTTAAATATATTCATAACAATAACTATCATCGGAGTGGAGGGAAGGGGTCATCTTATTTTCCATATTACTAAAAAACAGTAATGTAATGGATTTAAATGAACCGAAACTTAATCGCAACCGAAAGTGAATCATAAAGGTATCATACTTTCAAATTTTACTGCCTTTATATAAAGGTATCATACTCAGGTGGTATAGCTACTTATAGTTTTTTATATTACTGGAGCTGGTTAGACTTTCTTGGTACAGAAAGTTTCTAACAAGACACCTCATGTTACAAGAAACAGTTTCTAGCAAAATACCTCATGTTACAAGTTAGATAAAAATTCTTAGTCACAGACGCAATAAATGAAAACGTTTAACGAATAAAAATGGAGGAAAAAAATATATTTAACTTCTAAAATAGCTCTTTTAAAAGAAATTTCTGGTTTGCAATTTAAAAATTTTCATTTGTTGCACATACTCGTAAATGACAATACTGTTAGCAAATTTATCTTTAAATGTAGTTGGATGAACCTCCAACTAGTCGTCATGGAAGTTATTGAGACAGGTCTATCCAGCAGTGAACGCACTATGACTGAAATTATGAATGATAATGACACTTTTTGTGTTAGTTTTCTTAAACGTTTTAATAAAGCAGTACCAAACTACTTTGTGCTTCTGTTTCAACGTTCGAGTACTCAAGTACTACACTTGAGTATAGATACTTTCTATATTTTTAGTACGACTTCTCAACGGAGCTTGTCGTCACCATCTGACGTTGCTTCGACTTCTTCTTCTTCTTCGGTAATAAGTTTTTTTCCGGTGTCACTGTACATCTAAATCTACCGCCCGGGCTCGATTCGTGTGATATTAATACTGGAACAAAATTATGCGAAAGTTTGAATATGTATTAGTTTGAGAATTAATGTTATTTGATAATAGCTTGCATTAGTCGTGATCACGGGCTTTCTCGGTTTGTGTAACCTAAGGACCTAGTGTGAGTTTATTTCACATCTACTTGATCGTCACAGTGACCACGTTCGGTGTTGCGATAGGCTCGCACTGAACCACTGAGTGTGAGTTTATTTTACTTTTATTCGCTCTCAACGGCGAGCATATTTGACGTCGCGGTTGCTGAAGATTTCAATGCGCATGAGAAAAAATCTAGTACAAAAATAAATAAAATTACCCATAGCAATTTTTGTTCCGTTAGACCTGACATTGATGGTAGTTCGTCCACAATACACCCGGGCCGGTTCACTGCCCTTGTAGCGAAGGGGGTGTGAATGCTTTCTAGGGCGCCTCGTCGTTGTAATGGGCGTTTTGCCTTTAGTGTACACCAGTAGCTTATCCATGTAACAATCGTCGGTCTGAAAAACATAATGAAGTTATGTCATTTTTTTGGAAGGTTCAGTGACTTCTTTGGTAATTGGTACAAACATTACAAAAAGTGTTTGGCTGGTTCCTTTTATTGGCAGACGTCCTAATGATAACTCTCCTTGAGAATATCATTATTTTCAGGCGAGACAAAGGAAATAGATAAAAGGAAATGGATAGGGCATGAGAGTTACGTTCGTGATTACCTTTAATTGGCCTGTTGTTTTTATAAGATGTCTATGTTTAATCATAAATTGTATGTGCTTCCAATGAAAAATAAATAAATAAGTAATAAAAGTAAGCTCTAATACTTTTTTAACCCAAAACAATAATGCTCAAAGAACACAACCATCTATATGACAGTATCAAGTATTGTGTGGTTTTCTTACTTTCGGTAATCCAACATCAGGGCATCGGAGTCGACAGAAGTACTCATTTGGACAGAAGAATACCCATTGACAAATTTCTCCGCTGGTGTACTTATCAGGCCAGTTTATGTTACCAAAGGACACCATGCGTTTGCCAGGTACCTGCGAACAGAAGGTGATGATCGTCATAATTTATTTGTGATGCAGAATGTAGGGTACGATGCCTACGTACGATGGGCTGCTGCTAAGCTCGGTGCCAAATTAAATACTTCGATAACTCTATCACTGTCTATTATTATAAAAGTATAACTGTACTAAGCTATGCTAAAATGATTATAGACTAGATGTTATAGACTCATTTAATGTCTTATTCGTGTGGTGACGGTTTAAGAATATGGAGTGTCACCACTCCTAGTCATCCCATCGGCGTCGTAAAAGCCGACTTAAGGAGCAAATTATGCAGCACTGTAAAGAGAAAGAAAAATATTTGTACTTACGTTTACAACGAAGAAGCATTCATCAGATCCAGGACGTGTAATTTTTGATAGAACCGAAGCGGCAGCAACCAGAAGAAGTAACACATTTCGAGAAAACATCCTTAAATATAAATTTTGAAAAATAATTATGAAAACATTTTTTTTAACAACTCGGAATTTAAATAAAAAATGCAACAAACTGACCTCAGGGCCTTGCTCTTAAAGGACCAAGACAGTGTTGGCTCTTCTCAACACAGTAGTATTGAGCTCTTGGCGGTAGGCTTTTAAATCTTAACACTCGTGACAACAGTCGCAGTACAATAAATCCATGCCGACATTTACAGATACGAGTATACACATTACAATTAATTTCACATTTTTGTAATCGAGCATATATTTAGGTTGGTATTATTTTAATAAAAAATGCATTTAACCTTGACCAAATTCTTGGTTATGATATGAATACCTTCACAATTATTTATTTCAAGTAAAAGGAAGCGAACCTTACTGTATTAACCCTCGAACTGATCTTGAGCTGCAGTAAGTAATATTTAATATCATGTGGATTGTGTGAACTTCGATTGTTTTACTGACACACATTAAAAACAAACCATTTGTATAAAACAAACATAAAAAGGAACAAAGCTAGTCTATAACCATAGTTACCTCATCATAAAACAGCTGAGATAAACTAATTATTGAAACCTCGGATATTGTGTAAATATTGTGTAAAATCATATGGAAATAACACATTCATTAGAAACGAAACAAATTGCGAGATACATTATTGTGTTCAGGTACGAACAAATATTGTTTAAGAAATACGTTACTGCTGGACTTCGATTTATTGCATGGAGCGACGGTAATCAGACCTCCACAACCCAAGTACGAGGCGATATCGAAGTTCTGTAGAAAGGCTGATGTCAAACTTTTTAGGCCTCTGACTACCGATGTCGACAATTCTGTCAAAGTCTAATGTGTGATGAAGGTGCGTATGTTTGAAGAGCCGTAGAGGGACAAAACATAACCTCTGAAAGACATCACTGCACTAAATGTGATCTGTTTGTTGTTAATTATAGAATTTAAAGAAGAACAGGCTATGATGGACCCGTGACGATTGCCACAGATGTTCGTATGGCAACGGCTTAGCGTGATCTTCGAGGCACTGATAGGTCTCAATGTGTTAAGAATGGTCACCTATCCATAGACCTGGCTAGGATTGCTTAACTTTACAATGTGTTAACCTACTCGGTTACCACTAGCCAGATGATACTTAGCCAAGAGCCACTCTGGACTGCCCATGAAGTTTCATACAACATACGAACATAACGAACAATATGACAATTAGGAGTAGGTTAATATTCACCTCCAAGATTTGTTTACATAGATGGATAAAGTCATCATCATCATCATCATCATTATCAACTGCCTATAACAGTCCACTGCTGGACATAGGCCTCTCCTTAGAAAGGAGACAGACCATGCTGGCCACACGGGTTGGTATAGGGTTTGTTTCAAGTTTTCCTTCTCTTTGCAGTTCTGTTGTCCTGCGTAGTTTGCTCCCTTAGTGGGCTCTTACGACACCCACGTGATGAATAGGGGTGGTGGCATTCAAAATTCTTAATCCGTCACCACACGGACTAAGTCAGGTTACATCTTTAATTTTTATCAATCAATATTTTTTTATAACGAATATGGTTATTTATGTACATTAAGGTGTTACAATATAATATTTAGAAATAGTTATATTTTACCCCATAGGCATGTAAATATTTTAATGATGTTTGATCTTTTGTATTTGTCAACGCTCTGAATAGCGTAATTACTATGAAAATATTTTGAAAATTCATAAAAAAACCAGTGATGAAGGAAATTCATCATGTATGAAATCTAACACGGATGAACACCAGAGCTTAATAAAAAAACGAAGTTGAAACTGCTTGCAACTACTATATGACAAATCTCTCTAAGGAAGACATGTAGTCATGTATTTTCCAGAGAGATTGTGATTGTTTTAAAATTATTTATATCAAGAAAATATCAAAATCCCCAAAGAGGTAGTCGAGGTTCCTTGATCCAAAAATGTTTAAAACTTATCTGATTGGCTATACAGATTCAGTTTATTGTAAAAATAGCTAAGTAAAACATTTCGAACCTTGTTGTAAACCAGAGATTCCCAAACTGTTTTGCCAAGAGACCCTTTTTCTAAAATGAACTGATACCTCTGACTAACCATAAGCAAATTACAGTTCAACTCAATGATACTTCCCACTAAAATATTAGTCATTCTTATAACAAGTTGGAACACGTAACACAACTAATACAGTATCTTGAAAGTTTCAAATAAGAACTTGTGTTAATTAATAGGGGTCGATTTTTGGACTTGGGGGTCGACGCCTCAAAATCAGTTTTTGTTTATGCCGACCCCTGGGATACCGATTTCGACCCCAAGGGGTCAGCTTTATTGTAAATCGTTCGGATAGTATGTACGAAAGCAATCGTAGCCTGTTGTTTGGTGGTTTCAATATTTTTACACATTTTTTTAATTACTAATGCAACTAATCTTTGTACCTTGAAGGTAGACTGTACCCGCATTCAATAGCCATATATTTAACCGTGAGAGCCACCATATGGGCCTGTTTCATGGGAGTGATACCAAGGCCTAACATAAATCCAGTCATCAACAGGCTTTATTAGTCTACTGCTGGAGATAAATCTCTCCTAAGAAAAGAAAATCAACGTGAAGCAACTATTTCGTTTATTCGATCACTCATCCTCCCATTCTACCAAGATATATTTTTTTATCTTGATTGTATTTTTATTCAAGACTATTATCTGCTAGCATTTTATTATATTATTAGAGGAAAAGTCGAAGAGAATTAGCCTTCGCTAAATGTAAGTTATTTGTTTGAGCCAACAAAATCGTAGTTTTTAGGGTTCCGTACCTCAAAAGGTAAAAAAGGAACCCTTATAAGATCACTTGCTCCGTCCGTTGCTTGGTCCGTCTGTCCGTGTGTCACCACCGATTTTCTCAGGAACGGGTAAACCTAGCAAGTTAAAATATATACCAGATACTGAGGGCTATGGTCCCTATTAGGTGTATAAAAATCAAGGCCAACACCTGAGTCAACACGATAAAAAAATATGGGCAAAAAAAAATACCTAAATTTTCAACTTTTTATTTTATACCTTAGTTTTGACCAAAATTGACAATTCTAGGTCAACCGGAAGTACCCTGAGGGAGGTCGCGTCACCTACCGACTGACGCAGGTGCTCACTGGGCATGGCTGCTTCGGTGAGTACCTGAATCGGATTGGACGCGAGGAGACGGCACAATGCCAGCACTGCGCAGCCGACTGGCCGACTGGCCGGCATCTAAACGCGAAGTCCTGGTCGATGAAATCGGACGAGACTTGTCCCCGCCAGCAATCATTACTGCCATGCTGGCGGGTGAGGAGGACTGGGGCGCAATGGTCTCTTTCTGTGAAGCTGTAATGCTCCAGAAAGAGACCGCTGAACGGGATCGGGAGAGGGCCGATCCCGAGCGAAGAAGACGTCGACGACGTAATGAGCAGCCAACGGGACCGCAGGCCGCCAGAGAGTGGGGACCTCTGGTGGCAGATTAATTGCTGCGGTAGGGGAAAGGATGGCAGCCTGATCGCACTGAAAATAATCGGGCTGTAACATCTGGATAGGCTGAGAGGCAGGGAGGACCACTGGCTTTCCCTGAGATGGGACCTAGCTAGGGGCGGCGTCGATCTGGGGGACATGGCCCATGGACATGGGTTCTCCCCAGAGCAGGGCGCCCAAATCTGGCCATCGGAGTGGTTTTTAGTGGAATCACCACATACTCCTGGCTCCTATATCCCCAAGGAGCCGGAGATCCGTAGGGATTTTCCACTCCGTCAACAAAAAAGAAAAAAAAAGGTCAACCGGAAGTACCCTACAGGTTTTGGGTCGAAAACATATATGGTAGTTCCCGTTGATCTAAAATCAGGCAATTTGGCAAAAAGAAACGTCTTACATCATAAATGAAGGAATAATTTCAAAAAATTAAAAGAAGTTGAAAATTAAGATAAATTTTGGTACTTACAAATTATAGCGAAAATCTAGTCCAGTCGAGTAAAAATCGATTTTTACTCATTTTACACTAGATTTTACACTTTACTTTTACTTTTTACACTTTAATATTTCAAAATCTCCTTCTCTTTTTGCCAAAATTTTATGCTAATATGTTAAATATAAAAGTGCTAAATGGGAAAAAACCTAAACTTTTACAGGTTAAGGTCATCACCAGCCTAATCATTCCAATCAATGTGATTTCTGTTTGTGATTAACAAGTTACCAGTTTGATAGATTAGATTTGTCTCTTTTTTGTCTTGTAACAAAATATTCATATTGCTGATTTCGGTGGCTTAGGTTAAACTGTTTTATTCCCATACGTCGACACATAACGTGTTATAGAGATGATGCTTTAGTATTTTATTTTTATTACTGCTAAACTGTAGGTAAAATACCCTCTCTCACACACACGCTTTTTCACAAAAATACATACACCCACATGCATAACTACACACAAGTAAACTATATGTAGACACAGTCAGCAATAGCCAGATCGTGTGATTTTTATATTTGTTTTATAAGTTCGTAAAATTGTAAAAGTGAGCATCGACCTACTTGTAAAATGTTTTCCACAGCACATCAGAACGACTATCTCCAAAATACAGGTCCCCACCTAGCTTGGATTTTAGGGTATAAACACAAATTAGAACAAAAAACACAAATTCGTAGTTAACGTTAAATATCATTGTAACTTGAACAAAATTTTTTAGCGAACAAATGATTTATTTATTATTATTATGCAGTATTTTACTTTAAATATAATTACTTGTGTAAATGAACCTGTAGGTATATACTTGATTAGTGTACTAAACTCACTCCTAGTATACCTACCAATACATTAATTTACCATCCTGATGTTTTAGGCCATGACCTCATAATTGTTCTATTATCATTAAATATTTATCTCAAGTTAAAAATAACAAGCAAAGGTCGAACAATAGAGTGTCAATACCCATAGTATGGGTTTAAACGTAGACTTCCAGGTCTTAGGGCCAGTTAGCTGGATTCCTCCGTAAAATTAAATTTTATTTTATTCAACTTACGTTACAGGATTTAGCTGTTTAGATGTCTTATAATCAATTTTATATTTAAGAATGAATGTTCTAACGCCATTACTTCTGCTTTCTCGTTTGACATCAGTTAAACTGATCATTGTGCACCACACTCCACCCGACAAATGCGATTTCAATGCAACCGTAAGTAAAAATTATTGTAATTTTCTTTCATCCTACCCTGTACCCTGCCTAGCTTCGCCGTGGGACATTGTAGTTGCAATGATGGGAAATAAGGAACAAGACTGACGTAAAACGTGTTGTATTTCGAAAAATTTGAGCTCAATCGGTACAAAACATTTCCCACACCGGACAAACGGTGTTTCCCCTGATTTCCCACACCGGACAAACGGTGGGGTGGTTATGGATTTTATTTCTGATCAAGTCCTTTATATTACAAATGTATCCTTATTGCAATGGGTTTACAAATCAAATTACTTTATTTTGACATAATTATACCGCGACGGGTCGTGGCATGCCGCGGGACGCCGCCCCAAGTCGTGTCATTCGGTTTCATTCTACGGATTTTTTATTTTTTAACTGTTATAATATAACAGATATGTTATCTGTATTGGAAATCAAATATCTTTTTAATTTTTTCATTTATTAAATTAAATTTTCTTTAAAGCACATATATTTGTGACTATAAATAGATATCCCATTGTTTTTTAATAGTTTTCGATTCCCCACAGGTATTGCCCACACAGAAATATCACTTCACCAACGATAATTGGCCGGACACCTACGACATGGGTGTCAATTGCCGATGGACGTTTAACTGTGTTGAGGGTTACGCTTGTCGATTGCAATGCCGTGATGTTGGTCTGCCTGCTGTAAGTATTGTATAAAAGACAACTTCCGAATTATTTGTAAAGTCCCCCGGGACACAGAAGACAACTCCCGCATTAGGAATATAGGCAATAGGAATATAAAAACGCAGAAATGTGCCGTCGGGTGTTCAACACAAAACTTATTTTGCGAAACACCATTATTATGTATTAAGCTCATATATTTATAAACAAATACAAAGAAAACTTAAGATTTTGAACCTAAATAGGCACAATGTAAAGCTCAAACTAAAAAAATAGCTACTAAACTAGGACTACTCCAGTACTGAATCATTATTGGTTTACCTCGTATAAGACAACTATTTATTTATCACTAAGTTCTCGCATGCACACACATACACTTATACCCACACGCACACACCCACATGCACACACACACACATGCGCGCGCACGCGCGCATAGACACAACACTGGTACATATTACATATTCATTCAGCATTACATAATTAAATAAATAAATCCGGACAACTTTTAATTAGTGTTAAAGTAGAAATGTATGGTCGAACACTACCTCTTAAGATACAGGTTTATACTTAGTTTATGAGGTAGGGTCTTTTAAATAATATGCATAGATAACAATATGAAAAAAAAAACTTAATTGCATTGTGTAGCTTTAAAATCACAGTTGTGTGAGCTTGAAAAAAAATATTGAAACTAAATTACACGGTGCTCGATGTACTCAACTAGTTACAAGCCACCATCCGCGTAAATACAGAGTTTATATATGTTATGTGCTGTGTTTGTTGTAAATTCTTTAATTAAGTGTGGAAGTATCTTCACAAAAGCTTATTGCAGTAGCGTGCAGTGAAATGGGCTACCTTTTATATGAGACAGTTTCTTATGCTCTGTGATATATTGACAAACCCCATGCATCATCGCTAATTGCAAAAATCTAGTCTATATCTAATCTAATGGTAAGGCGGTATGTCGGACTCGAAATCACCCTCTTAAGGATACTGTGAAACTTAGTAACAATTTTCGGAGTAATATTCTCTGGGTTTTCTTCCTCTTCTTCTTTACTCCGTATTAGTTTCTATCTCAGTGTACAATAATATGATACTTTGGTTTCATTGTTCATTGACGGGCCTGTTGGTCTAGTGGTTAGTGAACCTGACTGCAAGCTGGAGATCATGGGTTCTATTCCCACCCGGGACAAATATAATGTGATGAGCACAGTCATTTGTTATGTCTGGGTGTAATTTATCTATAAAATGTGTGAATTTAGAAATATATAAGTATGTTTATCAGCAGATTGGTTACCATAGTACAGGCTCTGCCTAGTTTGGGACCAGACTGCCGTGTGTGAGATGTGTGAGGTTATTATTATTGTTATATAAAATGTTTTTAATCAGATATAGAAGAAAAGACAAAATCAGTATCAATAATAGACAAATTAAATGTATTTCAAGTTTTTTTTTATTTTAGACTCTCGGGTGTTACATGGACAGGCTGCTGGTCTCCACTACGAGTGATAAGACGTTAGGTGCCCGCGTGTTCTGCGGTCGAGAGCCTATAAACATCAGATCTTCTGGCACCATGATTACTATGAGTAAAGTCCAGTTTGACTCCCACACATTACAGGACAGCGGGAGGATATATGATATACATACATGTCAGTAAAACGGCAGGCCTGTTGGTCTAGTGGTTGGTTAGTGACCCTGACTGCTACAGCGGAGTTCGTGGGTTCGATTCCCACCCAGGACGAATATTGTGTGACGATCATGATCATTAGTTATGTCTGGGTGTGTTTTATTTTATAACTTTTTGTACAAGTACATGCATCGGCGGACTTAATGCCTAAGGAATTCTCTGCCAGTCGACCGATTGGGCGATGCTGAGAAAGAATAAGGTAGGTAGGTGCATTTATTCCCATAAATAAATGATAAAGGTTTTGTTAAATACCCAGACATACATAAATAAACGTACATACACATACACATATATACATATAAGTATGTTTATCAGCAGTCTGGGCACCATAGCACAGGCTCTGTCTAGTTTGGGAACAAATCGGCTGTGTGTGAGACGTTGAGTTTTTTTTGTGCGTTGTATTTTAGTTACACCTATATCGTCTACCAATTTAGTTTTCTTTATTTCTAATGGCCTATGGCATCCATAGCAAGTCTCCATAGCGACCGGTTCGAGACTATTTAGGCGTCGATAATATTAAATACCAAATTAAAGAAAGAGATTAGAAACCATAAAACCCAAAGTCAAATCTAACCGGCGCGGTTTGATATGATATCGTATTTGAAATTTTAATTATAATATTTTTCAACTCACTTCAAAAAAATTGCTTTATATCCTGACATGCATCCACATAATACAATGTACGTATATGTCCTTCCTTCTCCTTCCTTCTCCTTCCTTCTCCTTCCTTCTCCTTCCTTCTCCTTCCTCAAGAATTAAACTATCTCCATACTAAATTTCATCTAAGTCGGTTCTGCGGTTGATTTCCCATAAGAATTTCCAGCCCCTTTTTCACCCCCTTAATGGATAATTTCTGGGATAAAAACTATCAAATGTCCTTTTCCGTAATTTTCCCGTCTCTATACCAAATTTCATCTTAATCGGTAAAGCGGTTTAGTGGTGAAAACCTTACAATGTAATAATTAGGGCTCCCAAACAAAAGCATGAAATTTTGTAGGTACATGCAAACATGGTTACGTACATTTTAAAGTGAATGTTTTTCTCCGAAACTAGTAATCTCATAGTGATCTGTCTTTTTTCAGAATTGATAACGAGCCGATTTAGTCCAGGAGGAAGATTCAGGTGTACCATTACAACTGAAAAGTGGAGACAGCCAATGAAATATGCCACAGTAGTGCCTCTCCCTATGAAACTGCATAGAATAAAGTACAACATAGAAAAAGGCACGAAAAGTCGAATAAATTGGCGTATGGTTTGAACTGCAAGATGTATATTTTTTAAATTAAATAATACTCAGTACATATGTAAGTGTAATAATACATATTTGTGACTTTAATTCGTATATGTATTTGAATTATATTTCTTACCTAAAGATGACCTGCAAAACGTGACGGAATAAGAGATCAAAGAAGCTATTCAACGAGTGTGGAGGTTCTATAGATTGGGAGTCATGATCTTGCCTGATTGATGAATAATGGGTGGTGACACTCCGTATTGTTAATCCGTCACCTCACGGATAAGTAGCAGATATCTACACCGTTAAATGATGGCAGACAGTGAACGAAACACTTTTTTCTCATTTTCTCGGTCACCTGTACTCGCACATGTATACACGTCAACCGCTGGTCTGGCTAATCTGTCAAAAGTACTTTTGACCGCTGTTATAATCTCATCTAACCCAAACGGTTCATCAACAATAGAGGGGATCTAGCGCTCGGCGGCCGCTGACGGGGTCTGCTCGCTTCGCTCGCTCGTCATCGAGCTTTAATGGTCACTGTTCTAACCTAACCTCACTTAAACTTAACCGTATGCTTGGTAACGATCAAGCATACGGTTAAGTTCCCAAGTAATCTGAAGACTAACGAGTCTTCAGATTACTTGGGAAGTCTGCAGATTATCGAGTTAATGTAAGAACTGAAACAATTTTTTCCGCTTTAACGGACTCAACGAGATGATCAGCAGATTAATACTCGTAAGTTAATCTGCACTCTAACCGATTTACATACTTTAGCGGTACGATATATATCTGTTGTTTTTATAGGCGCTTGATGGCTACAGGATTTTATATGTCATTTTAATAGGTTTGGCTTGAAAGAAAAATGCATTATAGTCTTAGTTACATTTTATTTAAAAAATCAACTTTTTTAACATTTGTACACATAATATGTTTAGAATAATTATAAAACATTAACCAACGACAAAGCCTGCTCATAAACATTTTGGTTCATAACTATTGGATAATATCAGGGTTTTACATTTTACAATTCAAACATACAATTTCTTAGATTAAGCATAAATTCACTGCCTATAAGGAATTAATTAAAATTAAATTATTGGCATCAGTAGTACGACTATAGCTAAACTGACTTGGAAAATAATGTCACGAAGTTAGTTTGACGACTATTATGATACTATTATTACGACAAATATTACCACTTAAATGTTTTTCTGAAGATACTACCCCTGAATACAACCAGTTCCTAAGATTCTTCCGAAGTTGATCGATGATAAGGGCCAACTTGTAATAGGTGTAAAATCTTACCTTAGGGTTCATTTTCTTCACTGTCCGAATACGGAACCCTAAAGGAACCACCATAATTATGAACATACCTTATTCGTATTTTAAAATAAATACCTAGCTTGTAGTGGTGATGCTGTTTGCACTGAGCACTTGAACCTACCGCCTGGAGAACGATGGCTTGTGAATAGTTCTAAAAGAAAACCATGAAACATGATTACACATTATTCAAGTTAATTGTTTTCTAATGTGTGGTGGCGCGTCGCCACGCTAGTAGGCCGTGACTATGAGGCCGTTGTGTCGGATCAGAAAAGTAATTATTCATATAATATACCTACTTAAATATAATTACCTAAAGTTATCTTTGTGCCATTAGAAACAATATCGATGACATCCTGACCGCAGTAAATTTTTGCCGATTTCTTTGAACCATTCACATCAGACACTCTGAGCTTATCCACGGCGCAGTTCTTAGACTGAAACAAAAACAAATACATAAATATACGTACATATGTACATATGTGTGTGTGAATAGTCATACTTATATATAGATGGATATCAGTTTTTAATGTACGCATGTCAAGATACTCATTTTAGTTCATCTGGGGATTTTTACACACACATTTGCCTAAAATATTCTGTTCTCATCAGCCTATTTGCCTCCCCCAAAGTGCCACCGCCGCCATCCAACCACATTCTTTAAGTCGTCGGTCCATCGTGCTGCAGGGCGCCTTACACACTACGTTTACCTAATCACGGTTTCCATTCTAGCATATTTCGCCTCCGGCAGCCATTAGTCCGGCTGGAGACAACTGGCTCACTTCCACTTCAGCGTACCAGTAATGTGCGACTAAAAATACTTAAGCTGCTCAAATACTAAAAGCTCACCCGAGGAAGTCCAAGAGTGTCACATAGAAGTCTACAAAGATGGCCTTCTTGGCAGTTAAAAATCCATTTACAGCGTGTATCCGCTCTGTAGTGACTCGGCCAGTGTGGGTTGGCAAAATGAACAACTCTCTTTTGTGTAAACTGTGGGCATAGGAAAAAATAGAAAATAAGATTTGGTGACATAACTATTACTAGAAAATTTATTTCAATTTATATAAGATACATCCCGCATAGCGCAATTTTAATTTTCCAGTTATACTCGTATATACATTATATTAATCAAACAGTTTTATTCTACTCGTACGTACAAATTTTTTGTTACTCATTTTGAATTGCCTGATGTTTTGACCAGGTTGAATTGACCGGTCAAACTTAGTAACTTACCTAATACCTATCGTAAGCATTGTATAATATTGTATTTTGTCGTGGGGAATAAATTATTGAAAAAACGCCAATATTTTTAAAGCATCTTTATTTTTGTTCATTTTGAATGAATTTGATGCATCTCAAATACTCTCTAATACGAGTTCTAATAGGCCTAGTCATAAATATGGAGGATGGGGAAAATATGAGACTAACAGAAATGGGTTAAGAACTATTGGTATTGGTTATGGGCGCCGATTTCCGCTTTTAGACTCGAGGGTGGTCCTTTATGAGTCTAGAAGAGGTTGGCTAGTGAGCTAACCAAGCTCTTTCCAGAAGCGCAGAAGCCTCCTGGGGCGTTCACAGGCTTCTAGAAGCGATTTTGTACCAGGTATTATACTTGCCCGTTGTAAGGACACTCCCTCGCATTCCAGGATTACGTGGACGGCCGTTTCTTCTGCTTTAAGGCATCCTCTGCAAAGTGGACTGTCTGTTGCATTAATGATGAATAGTTGTCAGTTCAGGGCTAGGTCACCTGTTATGGTTCCTGCAACTATTCGGATATCTAGTCTGCTAAGACCGTCAGTAAGTCGTGGTGAGACTTCAGTCAGCACCAAATTGGACTGTCTGCAGCCGGGTGAATTTTACCACCTTCGGTTGTGCGCTTCACGAGTACGCTGTTTAACCCAGGATCGAAGTTGGTTAAAAGGCAGTGGCAGGAGTGTGGTTGGGCCGGCGGCCGGGGTTGCCGAGCCCCTCCTTGCCAACTCATCAGCAGCGTCATTCCCGTGTGAATTACTATACACTTTAATCCATTGGAGGAGCACCTCATTTGTTGTGGCAAGCTGCTCCAATTCTTGATGGCATTCGAAGTCTATACCAGAAGTCATTGTCTTGCCCTCCAGTGCCTTAAGGACGGCCATGCTGTCTGACAGTATACGGATGTTGTAGTCCTAAATACGAAATGGCCGTTGTGGCGGCGTAAGTTATTGCCACACATTCGCATTGGAATATGGAACTGTGTTGGTTGGTCTTGTGAGAAAACTCCAGCTCCAGTTCCTGACCCAGTCTTGGAGAACTCTTATATAACTCTTATATATATATATATAAATATATATACACCAGGCTCTGCCTAGTTTGGGGTCAGACGGCCGTGTGTGAAATGTGAGAACAAAAAAAAATTAGAGTTGAAATGAAAATAATTATCAAGCAATTAATAGTCAAATTTATTTTACAATTGTTAGAAGTATTTTTTATGTTTGAGTTAGTTTTGTAGGTTCCTTACCTCAAAAGGAAAAACCCGGAACCCTTATAGGATCCCTTCGTTATACGTCTGTCTGTCCCTTCATCTTGGAAAGGCGTTGAGGTATCGAGTTGAAATTAAAACCAAATATCAATCGGTTCAGCGGTTTAAGCATGAAGAGGTAACAGACAGACAGACAGACACATTTTCGCAATTATAATATTAGTATGGATATGTGAAGGTAGTGCAAGAAAACATTAAATTCCATACAGACTAAGTCAAAGGAACAGCTTTATAAAAGACACTCCTCATATTCTGATGCAAAATCGTAAAAAATTGTATACTATGCAGGATATTTTTTATTTTTCACTTGATTTGTCATTAATATACAAGTGTTCAATACTTACGACTTTTCTTAAAGCACAGTCAGCATCCTTTTGATCCAAGCGGGATGAAGCCAAGTCGAACAAAAGGAGAAATGCTGTTGTAAATATCATTCTGAAATATAACATAACATATTTCATGTAACATTCAAATACCAGTAAGAATGTTGCATATTTCATTTTACAATGAATTTTTCGAAAATTACGGAATAGATATCAAGAAAAGAACATTTGTCCTATTGACGCACAAACACACATTGAATACAATCAACGTTATCATGAGAGAAGGAAAACTTAACACAAACTCTATACTAACCCGTCTGGTCAGCGTGGTATATTCAGCCAAACCCTTCTAAGGAGTGGCCTATGTCCAGCAGTAGACTATTAAAGGCTGTTGATGATGATGAACATTATAATTTTTTTGTTCCTTTTCCAATTTTATCCGCATTAAGTTAGGTTACATAACGTAAGGCCTTATGGGGCGTTTTCATTTTGGGCGGCCGCCTACTTGACACTATCCTTCTTGGGATACCGTTTTGAGACTGGACTAAATTGTTAGAGTAATCAGTAGTGGTTTAAGCGATCGCCACGCCGCTTCCTACTACGCCGTGTGTTGTGGGTTCAAACCCTACATGGGACGACACTTTGTGTGATCCAGAAATTGTCGTTCTGAGTCTTTGAGGTACCATTACATTCATCTTAATTGTTAGTGACGTGGATATACAAATATTAGTGCCTAGATAACCGAGCTTAGCTCGGTATTTTTTTTTAGTAAATTTCCTAAAAATGAAACCTAGCTAGATCGACTAATCGCCCCCGAAACCCCCTGCATACTAAATTTCATGAAAATCGTTGGAGCGGTTTCCAAGATTTACATTATACATATACAATAATTGCCCGTTTTAAGGTATTAGATAAAATTTAATAATAATAATACTAATAAGACTAATTACTGGTTAGTAAATTTAAAGTATTTTTTTATAATTACCTTGTTACAAAGTAAACTTATAACCTGTGATCTGTGTTGTACACACTTGAACTTATTTTAGGAACGACACACTTAATATCACCAATGGACACTTACTGAGAACTACAGAATAAAATCCTACTATAAATATTGTTTACTTACACAACAAACCATAACTATCTCATTGTTTCCTCGTACTTCGTTTTTATGGAATGATAATATATAATAGAAAATAATACCTTGTAATTATTATACCATAACCATATTGACGTCAGAACTGTTCAACCATCTAACTATTGTATAACAACATAGGCATTGCATGGCACGGCAATCTACTAAACCTATCACCATCAACAGCCTATAACAGTCCACTGCTGGACACAGGCCTTTCTTTAGAAACCTACTTCTACCTACCTCTTTGGCCTACTATACCACGCTGGCCAGACGGGTTGGTATAGGGTTTGTTTCAAGTTTTCCTTCTCTTTGCAGTGCTGTTGTCCTGCGTAGTTTGCTCCCTTAGTCGGCTCTTACGACACCCGACAATCCGTCACCACCGGGGTTCCTAAACCTATAACCACATCATTTTTAAAAGTTCGTTTAAAAATGAACTCTTTGGTATAAGCTCATACTGACTATTATAATAATAATAATAATCTACCACATTTACACAACGCCATCTAGTCCCAAACTAAGCAGAGCTTGTACTATGGCTACTAGACAACTGATATAAATACATATATATATTTTTTTGTAAATACATACATATTATACATAGAAACACCCAGACCAAATCAAGCATTAAATGTTCATGCATACAAACGTTTGACTTGAGCGGGAATCGAACCCTCGACCTTTGGAATAACAGTCCGTTACTCAAACCACCACGCCATCCGGTCGTATTGTGCAACTAAGAAGCTTCTTTCTGTAACTTAAGATGGTATTGACTGCCTCGGTGGTGCAGTGGCAGCGTATGCGACTTTTGTCTTGAGGTCTCGGGTTCGATTCCCGGGTCGGACCAAATGTGTGTATGATCTGTAAATGTTTGTTTCGGAGTTTGGGTGTTTTCTATGTATAATATGTATGTTTTTACAAAAAAGTATATAAGTATTCTATCAGTCAATCTAGCTTTCATATTACAAGCTCTGCTTAGTTTGAAACTAGATGGCGTTGTGTGTTAGACGTTTGAAATATTGTTACTATTATATTGTACTATACGTGCAAGAGATCACTTGGCTCTTGAAGATACTTGGTGCTATCAACCGTAGGAGAGCCAGGCCTTGGCAAAAATGGACGAGCTCGACCGGAGTGATACCAAGGCTTCACAACTTCACAAAACTGGGGTTAGGTAATTCTTTCGTTACTTTTCAGTAAGTGAATGAGATAACCAGAGGGTACTCTGATACAACGTCGGGGCACCAGAGATTTCCTTTCTAGGGTACACCCGGTTCCCCGACTACTGGTACCTGAGACGGCGTGCGGTTTTAGTCGGTTCGAGTCCGACATTGCCACCGGTAAGTGGTATCCGAGGGGATTTCCGCATAAAAAAAAGGGTACTCTGATACTGGAGGAAAATGAGCAGACGGGTGCATGTCCGTGTGGTGACGGAATAAGAATACGGAGTGTCACCGACACTTCATTCTGTTTTTGTCGTAAGAACCGACTGAGGGATTAAACTCTGCAGGACAACAGCACTGCAAAGAGCAGGAAAACTAGAAACAAACCCTATTCCGACCCGCCTGGCCAGCGTGATATAGTACCTAGGTCAAAACCTCCTTTCTAAGGAGAGGCCTATGTCCATCAGTCGACTGTTACGGCTGTTGATGATTGATGATGATAAATAGTTCTTAGATCTTATAAGATGAAAACACAATAACGAATATGATACGGATAAGTAGGGGTGGGGTCCTAGCTTTAAATATAAGAGGAAGAAAAGAGTTAAGGAATAGCAGGTTTCTTAAATCGAAGACGACTTTAAAATACCTTGATTATATAGTAATGAAAATATAGTAGCCAAACAATGAAAGTATCAATAAAGATACATTTTATTTTAAAACACATCTTCCGCACTATGAATATATAATATGTCACGGGGGACTTTACAAACATTCATGAAACGGACACAAAGAACACCCAGACTCAGAACAACAATGCAGACGCATCCGGCATCGTAAGAGCCGACTAAGGGAAAAAAACTACGCAGAACAACAAAACTGCAGAGAGAAGGAAAACTTGACACAAACCCTATACCAACCCGTCTGGCCAGCGTGGTATTGTAGACCAAAACCTCCCTATTAAAGGCTGTTGATGTGTGCTGTGATCCGTGCAATCTGTCATTTTATTTACTTCGAAAAAGGTTACGTTCACCAAATAAAAAAAAAGATACATGATTTTATAAATTTAATCATGATCAACGTATTTAATGTACTTAATTAGTGAGTTATTTCCTCAACTTGTCGACATTTAAATAATAAACAATTACAAAGCATTAACAGTTAGACCTACGATAATTTTCTTCGATACTTATATCTCTACTGGTGTTTATTAGTTGTACGATCATTATTCTCTTTGACTATATATTGCCGGCTCCGATCTCACTGTACACATAAATCTACCTCCAAGTGACGATTCACTCGCGATTAACACTGAAATGAAATAAAAAATACATTAAAAGTAGAAAAGTATAGTAATACTTTTATAAAAGGGTGTTCGTTTGCCTTCTATAACATAAAAAAAACATTACTTATTTATGTACACTTAATTGTCTTGTCAAATACAACTTCGAAATCGAAAAATATGTAGATGCATATGGGTAACTCGATTAAATAAGTTTTAGTAATCCTATTTAATCGAGTATTAGATAATTGTTATTATTAGAAGCTTATTAGTATTGGAGAATTGTAAGTATAAGAAAATTAGAGTCGTTAGGAATAAATTTTAGCCTATACCTTTCCTTGATAAATGGGCTATCCAACTCTAAAATAATTATTCAATTCGAACCAGTTGTTGATGAATGTCAAACTAAAAACAAAAGAAGGAAAACTTGAAACAAACCCTTTTTTTTTTTTTTTAACGTGTGGAAATCCCCTCGGACCGTCACCCCTCCGGGGTTTGCGGCGGGGTGGTGCGTCGGACTCGGACCGACTAAAACCACACGGTGTGCCACTCTGCGCCTGTAACAGGAGGGATCCGGGAACAGCTGTTGTTAAGACATCCGGACCCCTCCTAGCGCCAGCCTGCTCCTGGTGCGGGCTCCGTCTCAATATTTTTCCTCTCTTTAGGCGACGTCCGGCACACGCGGACGCCGCCCCCTCGCGGCTGGCCAAACTAATGCGGGTGGAGGGGAAACCCACCCCGTCCACCCGCGGCCACACTCAGGGCGGCATGAGGCTGTGATAGGCGGTCGGGTCCGAGTGGAGGTCGTCCTCCCGGGCCCTCTCCGCCGCCTCCTTCCGCAAGATTACTACCTCGCAGAAGGTTGCGACCGCGGTAAAACAACTGTCGCTACCGGCCATGGAGCGTACTACGGCCGGTAGCGAGAGATCCACTCCATGACTGCGGTGAGGGCCCGGCGCTGCGCTGCGCATGCGGGGCAGACCGCCAGCGTGTGCTGGGCCGAGTCCTCACTGCAGTCGCAGTGGTAGCAGGTGGGACTCAGTTCCCTCCTAGCGACCGAGTGCAGGTACTTTCCGAAGCAACCGTGCCCGGAAAGCACCTGCGTCAGCCGGAAGGAAAGGGTCCCGTGCTGCCGCCCTGCCCACTCGGCGATGACCGACCAACGAGCCATCGTGGCTCGGCGAGCGGCTTCGCGCCACTCGCGCACATCCTCGGGCGGAGGGCGAAATCCGCTCTCCGCCTGGGAGTCAGCCACTCGCCGATAAACTTCGGCGAGCACTTCCGCCTCCAAATCCCACGGGGGAGTTCCGGCCAACGCGCATGCCACCTCCGTCGAAACGGTGCGGTAACCGCGTATGGCTCTGACCGCCATTACCCTCTGAGGGCGCCAGAGGCGTGCCCTATTCTGGGCGGTCAGAGCCGCCGCCCACACCGGTGCACCGTACAGTGCCATTGACAGGACAACCCCCGTGTACAGCCGTCTTGTCGCGACGCTGGGTCCACCCATATTGGGCAAAAGTCGCCCTAGGGCAGACGCAGCGCCGACCAGCTTTGGAGCAAGCTGTCGGAAGTGCTCGTCGAAGAGCCACCTCCCGTCGAGGATCAGGCCCAGATATTTCATCTGGGCCCGAACCGGTACGAGGACCGAGTTGACCACGATTGAGGCGCCAGGGGGTGGACCACGACGTCCGTATTTCACATTTAGCAATCTTAGTGATATGATTATAAAGCTGAAGATTTTGTTTGCTTGAACGCGATAATCTCAGGAACTACTGCTCCGATTTAAAAAATTCTTTCAGTGTTATATAGCCCATTTATTGAGGAAGGCTATAGGCTATATATCATCACGCTAAGACTAATAGGAGCCGGGCGGCTATGAAAAATGTTGCAAAAACGAGGAATTTTATTCTTTTTGATGTACGCAGACAAGGTTGCGCGAGTTAGCTAGTATTAAATAAAGAGAAATAGTACTCATGCTGATCCTCGCCCCTTCGGACTTGGCGTTAATTGTCATTCCACCACAATATACCCGGGAGCCATCGACCGTTGGGTCACCTGATTGGGTAGACACTAGAATTTTGTCCATGGAACAGTTCTCTGACTGAAAATATAAACAAACTTTAAAAACAACTAAGTTACTGATTAACTAGGTTAAATGCCGCAGGAATGTAACTTCCAAGCATTGCAAGTATGATAGGCACCGATTGTCGTTTAATTAAAGGTGAGGTTGTGCCATCTAATCAGAGGTTGGTACCAACCCATGATAAGATTTAATTAGAATCCTTATTTTATTGGCAAAGAATAAACAGGTAATTTCTTTACTTCTTGTTTATCAATCGATCTTGGATTTTTTAACTGTTTAGAAGCTATTTACGAGGTTTCGCTTTCAATCAGTAATGAAAACCTTAAAGTAGTTAATTAATAGGCCTAATTTAGTTTTTTTTCTTAGATTAACAAAAGTTTACGTTTTTAAAATATTACACGAGACACCTTTATTGTAGTAACAAGTCCAAAAAACTTAAATAATATAGAAAATATAATAAATAACTTACTAAAGGCAGTCCAATACTTCGGCATATAAGTCGGCAGGCATATCCTACATGGCATTCGAAAACCCAACGGCAAATCGTACCAGGATTGTAGCTACTTGGAAAATTCGGATTCATGAAGGATGTTACACCGTCGATATCGATCTGTGGGCAATATATAGAACACAATAGTATTTTAGTTTTTTATCCAGCAGGATAATGCTGAGTGAGTTTTATACTGGATGAATACAAGGTATATTTGAGGCTTAATATACACAATATTAATCCGTATACATCAGTAGTTACTGCTCCATAAAGTTTATTCAATTAATACAAATATCCCAAGCTAAGCTGTGGCAAACTCAGTCGCCGGCATTTTAATTTGGCTTAATAGTTTTGTTTTGGCTTATTAGATTTTGAAATGTATTTTTGAAGAAATTTTTAAATATTGTTCATGCAAGAACATATTGTTTTCACGCGGCTTATTGATACTCTAATGATCTACAAATAATCTTATTGCACCTTGATTTTTTAAAGATTGATGTATCTTGCCATCATTTAAGGCATACACACAGTATAAATAAGACAAGACAGAAAGACACTTACTTTTTCCACCTGATCGCAATCTCGCACTAGAAGACTGAGTGGAAGTATAGAAGATGCCAAGTTGACGCAAAGAAGTAAAGTTATTGCAGAAATCATTCTGAAATGAAATGAAAATAAATATTCGAAACTAATAATTAAAAAAAGTAAAATTTACGAAAACGACTTATTATTTCTTTGATTAGGTGTCTAGGCATAGGTATAATAGTTTGCAAAAGATAACTCACGAGTTGGGAAACTGACAAGACAGGATTTGAATGTCTTTTGATCATGATTAAAAGACATTCAAATTAAAAGCAAGTAAAAGATTTATGCAGTTTGTGATCAGATACAAGTTCAAAAATTACCTTGTACAATAACAACTCAGGTAAGCTCCTTCCGCGAAACGAATGAAAAAACTCATAAAATAAATAAAATATAGATATGGAGGACTAAAATATTACAGCTATTTTTGAGGAAAGGCAAGGACTTGAATACCGACAATCGAATGAAACGGAAACCCAAAAACCCACTGTTAAATAACTAACCTACGAGTACTGAATTGTCTAAGGTTTGTTTATTGTTTTTTAGATGTTGGTACAGGAAATTAAACATCCAAATCATCAAGACATGATATGGTTTCTCATATGTTTATCGATAGATAATGGTATCACAGCGTACAATAGGACATTCAGACAAATAGATGACCCGGCCTCATGGAAGGAGAAACTAGTCCTATTGTCTTTGACAATAGAATGGTACTGTTGGCTTCTTTAGCGGACCTTAGTGAAAATAAAGGAAATGCAACGCGATGCTTGCAAACATCTTTACTTCATAAAACCACATAAAACACAAAAATGTACGACCTTTCCTTTCTTAAATTCGAATTGTCGTTATTTAGATTTAAAAAATGCATATAAATAGTGTCACTATGGCAAAGGATCGACTTATTTGTTGGTTTTCAAATATTTATGGGTGGATTCAGAAATTAATCTTAATAGAAGATATCAAGCTACATAAAAAACATTGAAATCAAATGCCGTAATTAATAAGAGTTTATTTATTTGTTTGTTTGGATGTATGAACTAATCTCAGAAATTACTGGTTCGGACCAGCTAAATTCTTTTATCGTCGGATAGCCCATTTTTCAAGGAAGGCTATAGGCTACATATCATCACGCTGCAACCAATAGAAGTCGAGCATCAATGAAAAATGTTGCCAAAACGGGCAAGATTTATTCATTTTCAGATACACAGACGAAGTTCGGGTTATGTAACTGATATAAGTTTAGGTCTAAGATGCTAGTAAGTATTATTACCATCGCTTACACCCTAAAAACGATTGTTATACATAGTTATTATAAGTAACATAGTTATTATAAGTAACATAGTTATTATAAGTAACATAGTTATTATAACATAGTTTATTAACATTTATTAATTACTACATTTATTAACATTTATTAGTTAGCTAACAAAATTATTATAAGTAAAATTTTATAGACGCGTGGTTGGATACATGGCACATTGACGTGTCATGTCAGTGTCAGTTCTGTCAGAAATGAAAGATTGATTCATTGAAAAATGTTGCCGTTATCAAACCTTACTTGATTTTAGTTTCTTTGTGTATGTTGTTTTTAACTTTTGTTTTTATTTTTGTATGCTGTGCTTTATAAAATAAATATTATTCTATTCCATTCTATATGTTTTCAGACGTAATATAAAGGTTGAAGTCAAACACGTGGATGATCATAAGAGATACTAGCCAAATCCTTTTGCAATATTATACATTGCGCTGACTCGAATTTAAATGGTAAAAGGGCTGGAAGATCATGATGATGACAATTTCAGTTAATTAGAGTACTACATGGGATGTTTCTTGGCCGTCACTTAAAGCTATTATCTATCTGGGGTGTGGCTATTGTGGCCGAGGATAGGGTCAGACTTAATGGAAACAAAAAGGTGAATTAATAATCTTTCTTGTAAACTTTTGAAATACATCGTTAAATACACAGATGCAAAATATGTATGTGTCAAGAAGTTAAAAACGTTTTTGTACTGCGACAGCAATGCGCAGCCGACTGGGAGCTCAGCTCATTTTGGAGGACTGATCTGCGGGGGCATCTGAACGCTAAGTCCTGGTCGACCAAAACCGGACGAGATCTATCTCCGCCAGCAATCATTACTGCCATGCTGACGGGTGAGGAGGGCTGGGGCGCAGTGGTCTCTTTCTGTGAAGCTGTAATTTTCCAGAAAGAGACCACTGAACGGGATTAACGCTGACCGCTGAACATCGGCGATATGATAATGAGCCGCCGACGGGACCGCGGGCCGCCAGAGAGTGGGAATCTCTGTTGGCCGATTAACTGCTGCGGTAGGGAATAGGATGGCGGCCTGATCGCACAAAAAATGTGATCGGGCCACTACATTTAGTGATAGGCTGATAGGCAGAGGGCAGCCTCTGGCTTCCCCGGAGATAGGACCTAGTTCGGTGCGGCGTCGATCTGGGGCTACCTGAAATGAAATGGCCCTGGTCCTCCCTAGAGTAGCCCTACTCTAGGGAGGACCAGGGCCAGGGCCTAAGGCTGGCCGTCGGGGTACCCTGTTACCAAAAAAAGGTCAGCTAGTAGTAATTAGTTAAAATAAAACACCTATGTCCAGAGGCTCAAAGGCTGTTGATGATAATGAAAAAAAAAATAGGTTTTTAAATAAATAATTTAATAATTTGTCTTAACAGAAAGTGAAGTTCAATTTTATTTAGGGCAGAAGTTATCTTGTGTTGTGGTGACGATCCAATTAAGGAAGGCAGTCACTCTGGTATTTATACCGGGGAAATCGCCAGTCGCACAGGAGCGCCCACTACTCACAATACCCACTACAAAGAGTAGAGCAGTCTGTGGATCCGTATACAAAAGAGGACCGCCAGAATCATCCTGCAGACAAGGTATTTTGAATTAGGTTTTATTTAAACGTCTTGTTCACATTTTAAAGTAAGTACAACTGTAATAAAAAGCTGCGCTGATATTATTGCAGCACCTTTTTTTTTTTTTTTTTTTTTTTTTCCGTGCGGAAATCCCCTTGGATACCATCTGTCGGTGGCATGTCGGCCTCGAACCGAATAAAACCGCACGCCTTCGCCGGGTACTAATAGCCGGGGAACCAGGTATACCCTAGAAAGGAAGTCCCTGGTGCCCCGACATACCTCGGGTCATCTACAGACGAGTAGACGACCCCCCCCCGTGTGGTTCCCTGTGCTCCCTGGAAGCGAGCGCGCTTCGCAACGCGCTCGCCGCCACCCCGGCCTGCTTCTGCTAGGGTGACAGATGGCCTCACCTGTCACCCCCAGGCCTGCGCTTATGGAGGACGGAGGTCGTTCTGCGACCTCCGGTGCCTGAGTCGCCTGCGCTGCCTGGCCCGTGCCCTGGCCTGGCGGGCCGGGAGAGTTCTAAACCTCTCCCGGTCCCGCTCCGCCGTCTCCTTCGCGAGCATAACTTGCTCGCAGAAGGAGACGGCAGAGTTCCACGCACTCTCGCTCCGCACGATAGCCGCAATCAGGCTATCGAGCGAGAGAACTCCCACTCCGATGGCCGCCACGAGGTCTCGCCTCTGCTCAACCCACGCCGGGCACTCTGCCAGCGTGTGGAGAGCCGTGTCCACGGTCTGGCCATCGCAGTGGTGGCACTCAGGCGTTGGCTCCTTGCGGATCAGACACAGGTGATCTCCGAAACATCCCTTCCCAGTGATCACCTGCGTCAATCGGTATGAGAGGGTCCCGTGACGCCTCTCGAGCCAATCCTCCATAACGGGTCTTACCGCCGCAATGACGGCGTGCCCGGCGCTCGGTTGCCCGAGTCGTTCCCTCCACTCCCCTATGATGACCTGGCGGAGTTGGGATTTCCGGTCATCGATTTCTCGAATCTCGGGGCATCGACCCAACTCCTGCGCCTCCTTGCGCCACTGATACAGAGCCGCAAGGGCTCTCGCCTCCAGGTCCCACGGTGGAGTTCCGGCCAGGAGACTCGCCGCCTCAAAGGAGATCGTGCGGTACCCCCTTATGATCCTGATGGCCAGCATTCGCTGCGGTCGTCGCAGTATCGCGACGTTGCTGGCCTTCAGGGCCCCCGCCCATACTGGGCACCCGTAAAGGGCCATGGACCGCACAGCCCCCGAGTAGAGTCTCCTGCAGGAGTCATCGGGTCCCTTCATGTTGGGCAGCAGCCGCGCCAACGCACGCGCTGCCCCAACCAACTTGGGGAATTATTGAAGCACCTAAACGGATGGTGGGTTAATCACGCTATTACAACGTTCGTTCGTTTTCTTGAATACACTTTCGATGATATATATATACACTTATATATTATTGATAAATTACGTCCAAACAAAGAATAAATCTCTCCCACATGTCGACAATCTCGTGGGCTAAATCCAAATACTTCACTTGTTTATCTTTTTCAGCTTTCAAGAGATTGTCGTCATGTGGAATGGTAATGTCAACAATCATTGCTCGGCGCTCCAATCGGGCTATTACCACTATATCAGGTTTATTGGCAACAATAGTCCTGTCAGTGATAATAGGGCGATCCCAGTACAACGTTGCACGACTATTTTCAAGAACTGGGTCGGGCACATATTTGTAGTACGGTAACTCTACAGTCACAAGGTTATACTTTAGAGCAAGTTGCTGATGGACAATCCTGGCCACTTGGTTATGTCTATGCAAGTACTCGCCGTTGGCAAGACGAGAACAACCGGAAATTATATGTCTAAGGCTTTCACCAGGACAATGACATGCCCGACAAATGTCTATTGTGCCGTCCTTCAGGATATACTTCCGATAATTATTCGTCATAACAACTTCATCAGTAATTGACAAGACAAAACCTTCAGTTTCCCCGAAGAGGTCACCGAATCGAAGCCAGAATACAGACGCTAGTTGATCCACCTCAGGCCTGTTAAAGGCTCGATAAAAACGTCCATGCAGCTCTTTGCCCTTCCATATCTCAGTACGATCAGTAATGTTGAGTACTGCAAATTTGCGGCAGTTCTTTTTACCTAGACCAAGCGGAGTGAGTCCGTTATCAACTGCTACTACATCCCTATGAATATCCACATTAACAGAAAGGAAGTAATTCCTAAGGTTACATATCTCACGATTGTGGAGGGTCTTGGCATTTAGAAAACCACGACCACCACATTTTCGTGGAATATATAACCTCATCACCGATGAACGTGGATGATGCATTCGGTATGCAGTAAGCAATGTACGAACTCTTCTATCCTTCTAAGTATGCCAAAAGAGTAAGTTAGAACTGGTATGACCCAATCATTATAGGCTCTCACCTTATTATAACCTGATTAAAGACTATTTAATACTTTTTTCAGGCGGCTAAAGAAGCGTTCCTGTAACGATTGTTTCATAGTCAACTCATTTACACCTAACGCCTGTGACATACCCAGATATTTGTAAGTTTCGTTAGCTGAGAGACATGTAAAGTGCGTGCAATCTGAGAGTTCCAACCTATCAGACTCCACAACCCTGCCTCTTTTAACATGCATGATTGCACACTTATCTACACCAAATTCCATCCTGATACATTTACTAAAGGTTTTAGTTATTTCTAGTAAATTCATCAGTATGGAACTACTGGAAGCAAACAGTTTTAAATCATCCATGTAAAGGAGGTGGGATATAACCTTACCATCTCTCTGCAAACGATAGCCTAGCCCTGAACCCTCCAACATAGTGCTGAGAGGATATAAAGCTAAGCAAAACCACAAGGGACTTAAACTGTCACCCTGAAATATACCCCGCTTAATCATTACATATATTCGCCATCGCCTTGAGATTGCCGACATCCTGGATAGCAAAGAACCGTTCTCCATTGCCGCATACATGTCTCCATAAAAGTGCATAGAGTTGTATCAATCTTGTACAACTCCATCATCCTTATTATTATTATTATTATAGACTTAATAGTAAAGTTTGTAGTGATTATGGAAGTTCAATTATAAATTTCACCTGGCACGCATCTTTCCCTCGTGTGAATGTGCATATTTGTCGATTTGTGACTGACGGTTCTTTATACTTGCACTCTGTCTGACTTATCACATCCAGATCCGCCTCAAGCAATACTGATGAGACTGGACCACCAACGAAGATTGTACCCCAACCTGAAAATAAGCGGTAACAAGTCAGCTTGTTCAAAGCTGCAGATAGAATAACGTGCACACTAAGAACCAGCTCGATTTCATTTATATGAAATTGGACCTATTTCTCGAAAAAATTAAATTGTTACTAATTTAGTCTGGAAGTGTAATTTAGATCCGAAAATGGAATGGACATAAATAAAAAAGTGATGACGATACTGGTACAGAAGTGCCTTTTCATATTTTAGAGTTACATGTAAGGCTAAAAATTAATTGTTTTTTTTTTATTTGAAATATTTGTCATATTATTTTTTTTATATTTCATATTATATTTGTCATTGTTATATTATTATAAAGTGACAAATTGAACTTGGAAGTTAACAATTTGGTAATAGTTCTAATAATAATGCAGGCTTATATTTTGGGGATGGCCTGAAATGAATGAATTAACACATCAATTACCTAGAACCGTGACTTTTTTGCCGTAGAAATCATCGTTTTCGAATTTGAAGGGTAGACAAACAGGTCCGACACGATCACTGAACTCAATTGCTTCTCTTGCTCTTATTAGCGCTATGTCGTAGTCGTAATTAGAACTGTAATTACAAACATAATTTTTGTTAAAAAAATAGTGAAACAAAAGAAATGAAATTTTTGCATATACGAACTTCGATGTTTTTACGTAGAGCCACTGCCACCAGCCCAAGTACTAGACTATTGCCTCAGATGTTCGTATTTCAACTGGGACCAACGGCTTAACGTGATCCCCGTGGGACGGAGGGGTCTCAATGTGATAAAAAGGGTCACCCATTAATGGAATAACCTGGCCAGGTCTTTTTAAAATTTCTAATGTGTCAACATACTTGGTTACCACTTAGCCACGAGCCCCCACTTAAATTTTACTTCTTATTATTATAATTTTTATTTAATGTTAATAGTATTGACTGCACAGATGGTTGCTGCGCTAAGTGGGCTAGATCTCCACATGGGACAACACTGTGTCGTCCACAAATTCTTGTCCTAAGTCTGGGTTTTCTTTGTGTCCGTATTATGAATGTTTGTAAAGTCCCCAGTGACACATGATATATTCTTAATATGGTAGTTATCTTTAAAAAAACTATATATAAATACGTGAAGCGAAAACTTTGTATCCCTTTTTCAGAAAACAAACGTGAAATTTGACACAGTTAAAGTTTATGTGGAGAAGAAGTTAGTGCATAAAGGTATTTTTTTACATAAAATGCATTAGAAATGAATTATAGCCATGATAAAAATATTTAATTATAGAGATATAAATAGTCTTTGACAAAAAAATCCTAATAACGTTCAAACTTAAAATTTAATGAATAATGGTGATATTTCGACCACTGGACGACCCCTAGTAATAAAAAAATGGTGTTATTAATAACATCCCACTTGTAATTTAAAACATAATTTATGTACAGAATACTCACTCAGAGTATTGAGAATGTGGGATAAAACTGGCAACTCTGTAGCCTTTCGTTGCTGGTGAATCATCTGCAAGTGAAGTACAAGGCTTTTATGCAGAGCTTTAAAAAAATCATCTCTATTTCTGAATTCTATGATCACCATCCCTGGTGTTAAATACCCTCAGCTTTTATTTATCAGTCGTCAGTAGTCAGATCCCTTTCAATTTCCTTCCAAGGACAATCAGTCAGGATGAGAATTTATGGACCCAAGTGTAAATAAATGTGATTGTGGCGCGTCCCCACAGACAATGAGCCATTTATTAACATGCAAGGCCAAACGCCATTCGCGTCTGACCAAAAGTTTTGCCTTCGACACGAGAAGGAGCTCCTTTTCATATTAGCTTCATATTGCAAGTTTCAAATGTAATTTGTCAGTATATATAAGATCATAGTCAGTAATTAAAAGATTTCTGAATTGAAAATTAAGAATTTTCTTGCATTTTGTAAACCCTTTAAGTGTATAGGGTCATTGCATGTAGGGTCTTACTACACTAATGGCGTTACGATGTTTACCCGACTGTCAATATTGAAAACCGCACTTGCAAAGCATTATTACCTTATTATAAACTGAACATCTTTACATCTTATATAAGTATTGTAGTATACATAATCTTTCAAAATTCGAACCTAAATTTTAAGTAAGTAAATGGCTACTCTATTCGGAGTTCAGGAATTGCTTAAACTTACATCTTTACATCTATACAAATACAGACACAAAACAAATAAGCGCGCTATTCACATAAATTTCTATCCTCAATTTCAATAGAACTCACGATCATTCGATCACAATTTTCCTTAGAATTAATTAAGATCTTAAAGAATTAAATAAGAATCACTAACTACTACAATAGGCACCCTGTCAATTTTTGCAAATGAATATTGCCGCAATGAGGCCCCAAGTTACTCACCTAGATCTAGAACTAAAAAAATAAAAATTATGATACATTACTGCTAGATACATTGTGCTCCCCAACGAGAATTGCAGTCTGCTCTGGGATAAGACCGGTCAGACAGTGTGCAGCGGTCAGCACATACCGACGCGATATGATGGTTGCACCACACTTGATTTGAATGATCCTTGCGTCTACAATACCGACCATCATTGGGTATTCGTTAATGCCGGTTTCTTTGCCACCAACAATGCGGTTCTGGAATACGGAAAAGTTAATTTTTTGTTTTAATTAGTAATTACCACCTAACTTTTAAAGTAGCAATGTCATCATCATCATCGTACTGGACATAGGTTTCCCCTAAGGTTCTCCACAAAAACCGGTCCTGTATGCACGCGTCCAACGGCTTCCCGCGAACTTCACCATGTCGTCGGAATACCTTGTAAATACCTTGAGCCGTGGCGGCGTGCTTTCTTTTACCTAACTGTATAGTAGTATACTGACCTATATCTGCCTAATTTTTTAGGGTTCCGTAGCCAAATGGCAAAGAAAGGAACCGATTCATCATGACTGTCTGTCTGTCCGTCCGTATGTAACAGCCACTTTTTTCCGAAACTATAAGAACTATACTGTTGAAATTTGGTAAGTAGATGTATTCTGTGAACCGCATTAAGATTTTCACACAAAAATAGAAAAAATAAGTAAATTTTGGAGGTTCGACATACTTAGAACTGAAACTCAATTTTTTTTTTCATGAAACTACGTCCCTACGTGTATCTATGGATAGGCCGATAACATAATCCCCAACTCTGATCTGCAAATCGATCCCGAACCTCGAGTGAGTCGTATGCTTGTAAAGCCAACTTTATACTTTCTTTTCTTCCCCCTTTTTTTAACTAACCATAAACACGTGCCATGATGTATAACTAGCTTTACATAGGCCACACTAATATGATAATACTTTAAAAAAATTAATGTTATACCCGTCTTCTCAGTCCACAGCTGCAATTCGTGGTCAGGTTGACTGGCTGTGCTGACACTTGACACATGAATCTGCCTCCATTCGAGTTTGCAGTTGTAATGAGACCTACAAGTAGATGCATATGTAGAATAATTTTTCGTCATTCATGTTTGTATCTAGTTTTCTTTCTACTTCTATTTATCACATTATGTTAATAGAAGTTAGGCCAGAGTCTAGATACATCGTAAATATTAAATAAAATAATTATAAAAGGGACCGATGTATGCATTTCTTCAATCTTTCAACTTTGTCAATAATAGTCCTACGACCGATCAAAGTAGTATGATTCTTAAATTATTAAAAAAAAAATTTTTATCTTTTGCTGTCGATCGCTTGACTAAGTAGATGTTGATGATGTTTAAAGTTTACTCTAATATGTACACTAGAAAATTATTTTTAATATAATTGTAATTTGTGTCGTAAGAAATCTATAAGAAGTGTGTCACGATTGATCACTGCTTACCTTTTTTTTTCATAAACTCAGTTATGTAGTGTAACATTAAATAAATAAATAGTCAAACATCCAATATGCTAGTGATGTATCAGCCTTTGAAGCTTGAAGACTATCCTAGAGCAGACTAACATACGTAATCTACAAGCACATCAGAACATCGCGAGCACAATAGCAGATTTTAAGAAAATGGTCGAAGAGAAACCAAAGCCATCGAGCAGTCCACTCAACAGCTCTTTTGCTGACATGGTCAAAAAAGGTACTGATAAGTTTGTCCAACCAAGTAACTTAAGCTCTCTGGCAATATATCCAAACGATAAAACTAAATCTAGCGACCACACAAACTCCCTGGTCCAAAAAATCATCTCACATCAACAATTAAAACTGCATGTTCGTGGCGTGAAGTGAAGTGAACTGAATAAGCTGTGATATCATTATTTTAGCAGAATGTTGGCTGTCAAACCAAATCACGTATCGCTTGAGAGTTACTCACTACATAAAACTGAGAAGTTTTAATGAAAAGCATGGCTTAGTGGTTTACACAACAAACAAGTTAAATGTATTCATATTAAAACCATTATTTCATGCGTCTAATAGTTTAATTATTAAATTAAATTACGATATAGTAGTGTTAGCCATTGATCGGCCACCATCGCAAAATATTGATACATTTTTAGAAACCATTAACAGAAATTTACAGAGCCTATTACCGTACAAAAATATTTTACTAACTGATGATATAAATATTAACATTGCTTGTGGGAGAACTGACATTAATGCACACAGTTATCTTAATATTTGTTCATTTCACGGATTCTGTCCCGTTCAAAATCGCCCGCTACATCAAAGTGGATCATGCTTAGATCATTTTATTATAAAATCAAATAAACCGTCATTAGAATTGGTCACTGACTCAATACTTACAGATCACCATGCCATTCTACTAACCTTGCAATTATCTTTACCTAGAAAACCTGCACTCGTAGCTTTACTAAAATAAATATGGAAAGCCTTGGCTCCGATATAAGTAAAATTAACTTTGACCTAATTTACAATACTGACGATGCAAACGTGTCTTTAGATTATTTTTTTAGTTCACTTCAAAATGTAATTTAAAAACTTACTACAAAATATCTAGGAAATATAAAGCCATTAAGCCATGGATTACGCCTGGTCTCGTCCGCTGCATAAGACATAGAAATACTGCATCAAAAATGTAAACTCGAACCAGGCAATACAGTATTTTCTGTATCTTACAGGAGATTCAGAAATTACTTTAATAACCTTTGAAAAAAAATAAGATTACGAAAAACGGAATCATTAAAAGCTGGTAAAAATAGTAAACAAATTTGACAATTTATGAGCTCTCACTCAAAAAGCATGAGTCACCATTTGATCTATTATTAACTGAAATAAGCCCCATCGATGCAATAAACAAAATCTGCTGATGTTGGCAAAAAATTAACAGAAAAGATTTTAAACTCAAATAGCTAAATATTTCTACTACGAGTACATTGTCAACGACAACATTGAATTCTTTTGTTTTGCTAGACACCGATGTGGATGAAGTATTAGGTATTATAACAGAGTTGAGGGATGTTTGCTCAGTAGGATGGGACAATATTTATAATACTGTGATCAAGAGCTTTAAATATCTACTAGCTCTCCCGTCGACGTGTTCACAAACAGGCGTTTATCCTAAATTACTTAAAAAAGCGGTAGTTATACCTATTATTAAGCCTGAATTATAAATATATAATATTTCATTACAAACCCATCTCAATATTAACAGGCTTGTCCAAAATATTAGAAAAAAATATAAATAGGAGACTAATGAAATACACTGAAAATGACCATTTGCTATCACAAAATCAATACGGTTTTAGATCTAAAAGATCTAATAACCAACCGGTTCATCAATTTACAAATGATATATAACTAATAATTTAGACAAGGGTATGTGCTCTATCAGGATCTTTTTAGATGTTGCCAAGGCTTTCAATACTATCTATTGCCCTATCCTATTGCACAAGCTAGGAAATCTTGGAATACGGGGAACACAACTTCAGCTATTTACTGATTATTTTAGTAACCACTATCTATCTGTCAAAATCGGACAGTGTGCAAGGTCTAAGGTAAAAAATAGCAGCTATAGCTTTCCGTAAGACAGCATATTAGGACCAACGTTATTCCTCATTTATATCAATGACACATGTAGCTAAAACTACAAAATTGTGCCACACTGACATCATCAACAGCCTTTAACAGTCCACTCCTGGACATAGGCTTCTCCTTAGAAAGGAGGTTTTGGCCTACTATACCACGCTGGCCAGACCGGTATAGGGTTTGTGTCAAGTTTTCCTTCTCTCTGCAATGCTGTTGTCCTGCGTAGTTTGTTCCCTTAGTCGGCTCTTACGACACCCACGGGATGAATAGGGGTGGTCACACTCCGTATTCTTAATCCGTCACCACACGGACGGACATACGCAGATGATATAGTTCTATTAATCACAGCTAAGTCAAGTCAAGTGAAGTGTATGAATACGCAAAAAATGCCTTCAATGAGGTATCATATCACATCAACAGCCTTTAATAGTCCACTGCTGGACATAAGCCTATCCTTAGAAAGGAGGTTTTGGCCTACTATACCACGCTGGCCAGACGGGTTGGTAAAGGGTTTGTATCAAGTTTTCCTTCTCTCTGCAGTGCTGTTGTTCTGCGTAGTTTTCTCCCTTAGTCGGCTCTTACGACACCCACGGGATGAATAGGGGTGGTGACACTCTGTATTCTTAATCCGTCAACACACAGACCCCGTCACCACACAGACCATACAATGAGGTATCATATTGGCTTCGTAAAAATCTACTGACCTTAAAACAAAATAAATTTCATTTAAAATGCGGGACTCAAATACTGTAACATCTAACCTAAATATTTATGCACATAACTGTCCGTCAACTGATATTGTATGCACTTACCGTGCTTTAAATAAAAATGATGATGTAAAATATTTAGGTATCATGTTTGACACAAATTTAAAGTTGTTATGTATGAGAATGCGCAAACTCATATACATTTTTAAAAACTTACGCAGTACTGCATAATTTTTGTAATAAAACAGACCTATTTGGCTTTGTGTCAGCCAATACTAACATATTGCATAACTTCGTGGGCCGGCACTGCTAAGACCATTTTTTTTTAAATAACTCCCGCACTCGGAATAAATTCTGTGTCGCGGGGGACTTTACAAACATACGAGAAATGGACACAAATAACACCAGGACTCAGAACAACAATTTGTGGATCACAGAAAGTGTTGTCCCATGTGGGGATTGAACCCACAACACTCAGCGCAGTAGGAAGCGGCGAGGTGACCGCTTAAACCACTACGCCATCCGTACAGTTTCTCCATTCAGTTGCACCATTCTACTAACGCTTGAACGTGCCCAAAGAGCTTTACTAAAAGTAGCCACCTGTCGCTCTTAGGTGTCCTACTCATCAACTCTACCTGGAATGCAAAGTATTAACAGTTTGACAGATCATGATATGCAATAGAAATATCTATTGCATATCATACTAAAACAATACGTGGAACTACCATTTAATCCTGCATCCTAGATAAGAGAAGGAACGACATTGAATATGACAAACCTCAAACAATGCATACGTACTTCAACAAATGTGATCCTTTCTTACTACCCTATCTGTATAATAAGATAAATAAAATATTGAAAATATATGGCGTATCGTATACAAAGTGTCATACTCTAGTAGGAGATTACTTAGGTGAGCTTAATTACGCAGACACAGAAAACATCTTAGCAATTTTAAAATGATATAATTTTAATTATAATTAGGTTATTTAACAATAAGTAATAATAGCTTTACCTATGAAATTGCCGTTTGGTATGCAATAAGTGAAAGTACTTATTTTTTCAAACTTTTTTATTTCTGTTATTCGAAGTAATCACCCATGCAATCGACGCATCTTTGCCAACGCATTGGCAGTTTATTGATGCCCTTGTAAAAATCAGCTGGACGGGAGGCAACAAACTCTACAAAGGCATTTTGTACTGCCTCTCGGGAATTGAATTTTTCACCCACTAAAAAGTTGTCTAACTTTTGGAAAAAGTAATAGTCGGTAGGTGCAAGGTCTGGTGAGTATTGCGGATGAGGGAGAGCTTCCAACCCCAGCTCTTGCAGCTTGGAGACTGTCTGTTGCGCAGTATGGGGTCGCGCGTTGTCGTGAAGGAGCAGTGGGGACGAACGATTGACCAAAGCTGGTTGCTTGGTACTCACCAGACCTTGCAACTACCGACTATTACCTTTTCCAAAATTTAGACAACTTTTTAGTGGGTAAAAAATTCCATCCATGCATTCTTGTAATAAAATGAAAGTAATTGTATCACGACCGATAAGCGTGAATTTTATTGGTATATTAGACATTGATTACGATGGCTGGAGCCTGTATGCCGTCTGTATGCCGTCTGTATGGACAGGTTGACTCAAAACTATGATCCTTTCCTCAAAAGGCCTATCCAGACCCTATACTGTACTCGCACAGTTTTATTTAACTTTGTTTACGGACTTAAAAAAAAAAAAGACACCTCTGTGGTTTGTTTCGGCGTTTCTTCCCAGAGTGAGTCTTAGGAAATGCCGGCTCCTTCTAGCTATAAAGTCCGACTTGTAAAAATATCTGAAAAGATTTACTTACAGAAATAAATATCATTTCATCATTTCATTTCATTTCATTTCATTTCATCATTAGAGCATTCGAACTATACAGAAATTGCCAATCCTAATTGCAGGTATGCAACCCTGACTAGATCAGACTACTGCTTGCATACCAAAATCCATCTGTAAGAGCCTTTATGTGCCACTGTCTTCCCAAATCCTTTTTATCTACCTTTCCTTTCAATATATGCCCAAATTCCTATTTAATCCCTAAACTGCCCGACGGTGATAGGGTTGCTCCCTATTACGCAAGAGCGTGTGGTGACGGATTAAGAATATAGAGTGTCACAACCACTAATTATCCCGTGAGTGTCGTAAGAGCCAACTTCTTTCTAAAGAGTCCATCAGTGGACAACAAACAAACAATGCTCGATTATAGCTACTGCAGAAAGTAGCTGTCTTTAGGACCTGTCAAAATACTGAAGTAGTATTGTTATGTGACAAGAAATGCTGGTATCTTATGGCAAATTTATTTATTGTACGCATACCACTGTTCAGTGACGTTTGTCAGAACATGATATCAAGTAAATTATAATTGGTTGTTGTTTGCTCTTGGTGATGATAATGTGGGCATGGTATGAATGTATGGTCGACATTAGTCTTCACTATAAAGCTAATCATAGCATTATATACTTACCTAAAACTATCCTCTGGCGTGTAGACACAACGGAAAGTGTCCTTTTGCCACAGTATGTATCTGCTGCTGCTAGCTGTGAATCTCCGCTCTTTGACACCAACAGCCTATCCAGCATACAGCTGGTGGACTGAGAATGTGTGGCTTTATATTAAAATGACGTGAGGCACACATACATGACTGCTATTAGTAATTTAAATGAAAATAGGACTTCAAGTAGGTAATAAAGATATCAAAATAACAATGCTTTGTGAACAAATTCGTTAAAAACAATGTTACGGGATTCTAATAACTTGACACATCGTTGTGTAGTAAAGTAGTTGGTAATCAGACTACGGAGTGAAATTTGAGCCGTGAAATGGTATTGTCAGATCCTCCAGACTTAAACTCGGTTAAAACGATTATTGCTACAGCAGCTCTCTTTAGGGTCTGTCAAAATACTTAAGTAGTATTGTTATGTGTCAAGAAATGCTGATATCGTATGGCAATTTTTTTTTTTTCTCTTAGATAAAAGACAACTCCCGCATTAGGAATACATTCCTGTGTCGCGGGGGACTTTACAAACATACATGAAACGGACACAAAGAACACCCAGACTCAGAACAACAATTTGTGGATCACACAAAGTGTCGTCCCATGTGGGGTTTGAACCCACAACACTCGGCGTAGTAGGAAGCGGCGAGGTGACCGCTTAAAGCACTACGCCATCCGTGCAGTCGACGCATGCCACTGTTCAGTGACGTTTGTCACAACGACAAAACATGATATCAAGTAAATTATAATTCGTTGTTGTCGCCATTTAGTGATACTAAAGATTACCTTCTAGTCAAGTTTCGAATATAATTCATTAATGATCACCAGAGAGATCGAAATCGATCGACCTATTGGATGGATATTAACTGCTATTTGCTTTAACTGCTATTTGTAGACTTTTCGCACCATGGGATTTCAATCTAGTCTAATTTTATTATATTTTTAGGCAGCAATTTGTCTTGCCTTTTTATAAGTACTCGTAAATTGGGACTGCCGGACAAAGTACTCTAGAGCATGCGAATAGAACATACGTGGAGTCTAACGAAACGAATAAAATAATTATTGTGTGCTAACCGGGGGTAAAGAAATTTCAGGACAATCCAGACGACAGTTATATCCTGTAGGACAGTCGACGATCCACCGACACATAATTCCAGGACGGTAGTTGCTAGGATAATTTGGACTCAATATGTTAGCAGTCCTTGTTGGGGCTACCTGAAATAAACATGATTAGCTTTATTTCGTTACAAATTTAAACGAAACAAAAAAAAATGTTTTGAAATAGTATGTTTTATATACATATTAAATCCCTACATTTCTTAATATAAGTCATAGAGAATAAAATAACTATGGCGATAGCCACATACAATAAAAACACTTTTAAAGCGTCATCCGTTTAAGACAAGCTGCATTAAATAGTAACTACAAATTCTGTATCGCACAATTACGTTTGCGCGCTGATTATAAGGTGTAAAAGGCAGTGTAACAAAACCGAAATAGTAGATTTAGATCATTCATCAACAGCCTTTATTAGTTCACTGCTGGACATAGACCTCATCTTATAAGATATAAGGTTTTGGGTTTAGGTTTTGTGTCAAGTTTTCCTTCTTTTTGCAGTGCTGTTGTCATGCATAGTTTGCTCTCTTAGTCGGCTCTTGCTATATCTACGGGATAAATAGGGGTGGTGACACTCTGTATTCTAGATTCCGTCACCACACGGAGATCATTACTGCGAGTTTATAAATTTACCACTTAATTTGGTAATCAATTTAACGACAAACAAAACAGTTAATGCAAATACCTATTTTCTTAGCTTAAAAGGTGATTCAATATATGACAATGGTAACCCTACATTGCGCAGGGCTAATAAAATACTACGACCTCCGTCCTTCATAAGCGCAGACCTGGGGTGAGAGGTGAGGCCATCTGTCACCCAAGCAGAAGCAGGCCGGGGTGACGGCGAGCGCGTTATGAAACGCGCGCGCCCTTCCGGGAGCACAGAGGGAACATGGGGGTTTCCACACTGGGAGGGTCGTCTACCCGTCGTAGATGGTCCGAGGTACGTATGAACTAGAAGCACCGCGCCGGTGCGGGCTGGTGCTAATAGCAGCAGTTTCCGGATCCCTCCTATTACAGGCGCAGAGTGGCACACCGTGTGGTTTTAGGCGGTCGGTTGTTAAAAAAGGGCTAATAAAATTAATCATTATAAATCCACGAAGACCTAAATAAAAAAAAATAACACTATATTAATTTTATTTACAAATTTAAAGAAAATCACTCACGTTTTGATAATAGTTACAATTATTGTCTTGAGCTACTACTTCTCTGAGGAACCAAAATAGCAAAACCCAATCAAACTTCATCTGAAACAATGCAACACAGGGTATCTTTATTGAAAGTGGAAAAATAAAAATGTAAAGCGAGTAAAGTATCCATTTCCAGGTATTATTAATAAAAATAACTTCATACATATCACACACGGCAGTCTGATCCCAAACTAGGCAGAGCCTGTACTATGCAAACAAACTTATAATAAACATTCTTATATATTTCTAAATACCCACATATTATAGATAAATTACACCCAGACAGAATAAATCAGGGGCAGGCCGGAGTTAGGAGCAAACGTGCATAAATCTCTGAACACATTCGCACTCGCGTATTACTTTCTCCGGAAACTCAGCTACATAAAAAAATATCACTATGACGAGTTGCGAGATAATTTCGAGTCCAAAAGGAAGCCAGGCCTGGAATATGTTCAGAGGCAACATTTTATTTCATCGGTAGGTCTAAAAACTTTCGTTTTAAAGTAATATTGTCTAAAAAACACAAAGTATTATGTAATACAAGATAGAAAACCTTTATGATCTAATCTGTTAAAGCAATCATACATTGCGTATAAAATTTGAGTACTAATTACATTGTAACCACGAGAACACGCAATGAACTGCATTTCGTGCAGAAATATTCGGTAAAGTTAAAGTTCAGATTTGTAGCTAATCTTATTTTAAATTATTCGACATCGCAATATTACAGATATAGATGATTTTGGTTTTTAAAATGATTTTCTGTTTAGTACAGTTTTTTTTTTGTATTAGGATTCTTAACCGACAGCAAAAAAGAGGAGGTTTGTTTTGTTCGCATAGTTTTTTAATTACCTTATTTTGGAGATATTTTTGATCATAACATTAGTTTTAACTAAACATGAATAAACTTACTGACCAATTAAGGTCCGTAAATGAAAATCAGATACTTCTGCAAGTTTAACGCCAGTTAGTAGGTAGTAAGTAACATGTTTATTAAAATAAGCTTACATCAAATAGGTTAAATAATATCATCAAATCATTTATCTGACTTAATAAAATGCGGTATTTAATAAAAAAAATACAATGTACAATAAGATACAAAATGGCTATTATGCAATAAATACACTTTATTTGAGGGTCAATAAATATTTTTAAATAGGTACATTATATTTCAATCACATTAATTAATTCTGTTATATAGTTATTGAATATAAAACATATTTTGTATACAAAAGTAGTATTATTTTCAATAAATGTTAATGAATATTAATGTGCTACATCAGAGTATCAGTCAAATAAATAATTTCCTTTAAATTAGATATTCTCTTTTTTTTCGATAAATGGCACAAGTACTACAACGGTGTCTTGCCGATCCGCCTCTAAAACAATGCGGGTCGCGTTGTTTTTATTAAGGTTGTTTTTAGTAACATTATAAGTGGTGTTTAGGATTTATAATAAATAAATCCTGTGGGGCGAATTAGCGTAAACTTTTTGATTTATTTATTGAGTCTTCCTGCAAACATATTGCATAAGGCGGACTTAATGCCTCAGGCATTTTCTTCCAGTCACCTTTTGGGTGTTGCAAAGCTGTGTGTGGCAGTTGTATATTTATTATATTATGTGTATATTGTATTATGTGTGTAAAATATTATTTATCGTTTATGTATGCGTCTTGACGACAACGGAACTGTTCTGATTTACCGTCGATCGCACTTCTAATGTTTATTCACTATTCTGTGATCGTGCTCATCACACAATTATTTGTTCTGGGTGGGAATCGAACCCACGACCTCTGGCTTAACAGTCAGGGTCACTAACCATTAGATTACCAGGCCAGTCAAGCTATTATTATTATGCAGCATTTCCGAAAACCAAATACCTAAATTATAAACCAGGCATTATTTCAGTTCCATTGGAAAGTCTTAGACAAGAACTGTATGGTGGAAAATCTGTTTTGCCTTCCTTATTCATCGTACAAATTTGCCAATTTGTCCAAGCTTTATATAATAATAGACTGCACGGATGTTGTAGTGGTTTAAGTGGTTGCCACGCCGCTTCCTACTTCGCCGAGTGTTGTGGCTTCAAACCCCACATGGGACGATACTTTGTGTGATCCACAAAATGTTGCTCTGAGTCTGGGTGTTCTTTGTGTCCGTTTCATGTATGTTTGTAAAGTCCCTCGCGACACAGGAATATATATTCCTAATGCGGGCGTTGGCTTTAAAAAGAAAGAAATCCAAGTAATAGTCATGACTACTGGCTGCATGATGTTAAAATTAATTTTTCCAGATCATACAATAAATATAATTTAGTTATCAATCACTAAATTAGACTATAGGCTGTTAGGAGTGTACCAGGGACTTCCTTTCTAGGGTATACCTGGTTCCCCGGCTATTAGTACCCGAGACGGCGTGCGGTTTTAGTCAAAAAAAAAAAAAAAAAAAAGGCTGTTAGGAGTTATATAACCAATAATGGATTTCCATGGAGTAGCCCCTAAAATATTTTTTTCATTCCCCTAAGAAGCGTCGGCTATCCCGATGTCTTGGGCAGTCCTTATCTATCAGCTGCCAGCCACTTTAGTTACGTCTGGCTAATCGCATTGATATCAAAATCAGTTACATATTTGTATGTCAATAAACTTATTTTTATTTAATATTTTAACAACGCATATTACCTTAACAAATAAACAAGTATTTCTTTTAATATATAAAGAAAAATGTAGAAAAATCACTGGTTTTCGCTTACTTTGATAATAATAAAATCACATTGAGTTAAATTATTTACAGTAATATCACCATACATAGTTTGTTTAGAACTGAGTCGTGCATCATGGTATTGTGTATCAGGCGGAATGTTTGCTCTAAATAAACAACATTTCACTATATTACCATTATAATTTTTTTACGAACACTTGAACAAATCATGTCGGTTTACAATATAAATATAATTTATATATTAACGTAAGAGACTGTTTTGTTGAGACCTAATAGTCCGTATTGGAAATTATCATTTACAAGATAGATAAAATAGCAGGACAGGTGATAGTTCGTGTTCATAAATACAATAATAATAATAATCTTTATTGTTATAATTAACCTTTAACAGTTTGCTTATATATATATACACATAAACTTTGGAGTTAGTGTTCTGCTGTTATAGAGACAGATTGTAGGCTTAGAGGTTAGAAATATAATGCGGTGTGTGTGTGTGTGTGTGTATGTGCGCGGGGGCGTGTATGCGAGCGTGCGTAGGTATGTGTGAGCATATGCTTACTGCTGGAGTTGAAGTAGTCCTTCAGTTTGTACATAGTCTAGGGTTTGTAAAATGCCATTGTTTTATTTTTCACTTCGCGAGGAGTTAAGCCACTAATAGGAATAGCTTTATATTTTTTTTTTTAAATAAAAGTACTATTGACATAATATTGTCGACCGGCGAATGCAGTTTTGTGGTTTTCCACACTGCATAAAACTCTTCTTGTACGCTTTGTGTGATCTGGTGGGGGAACTTGAGTATATTTTATAAGGGTTGCTTGGAGCACAAATAGTTTTCTGACGGAGAGAAATTTGCTATCTGCATATAATAAATGAGTCGGATACCGAAATGGTTTACCAAGTATTACCATCATGACCGCTCTTGGTGCTCTCTCTATTTGAATGAACTTGGTTTTGGCGGCTCCACCCCACACTGGTATGCAGTAAGTGATAACGGATTGGCAGATCGCTAGGTATATCATTCTCATGGGGTGCGGGTCGGGTAACCTCCACGTGCGTCGCCATGTTTTTTGTTTCTCCTGACCACTGCGTCCGGGGGGAACAAAAGCAGGGGACCGGTGCACCCTGGGCGACGGTCAATAACTTCCCTTTCGGGGGTGGGTATTGGCCGCCGGCAAATAACTCGGCAGGGGGGGTAAATCGCTCTCGGTACTCCTCTGTTCATCAGAGGAGACTGGACGAGCGAAGGGGTTGTGGGCAAAGGCCGAGGTGGGAATCCAGAGGCGTGTCGGCCCACTGCTTACGCAGGGGCTGACAAGCACTAGTGCTACCGCCGGTGAGGGAGGGCTAGCCACCCTCTCGCATTTCGTAACCAATGGGGGCTCAACAACGACCCAACTGGTGGCTCCAGGAGGGTACGCTGAGAACCTGTTGGCCGGAGGGCTTGCCTTAATTGGCCGACCCAGGACAAGGACAGTCTATAACACCCGACAGAAAAGTCGTTAAACGTTAACAGTATGTAGGCTTATCCGGGCACAGGGGGCCACGCCGGGATGGACGGCATTTCCCCCATACTCGTGGGATTAATTATGGAAGTAAATAAACAAGTACATCAACCAACAGTAACAGACGAAACTAACAACGACATTGGCTTAATGGATAACGGACAACGGATTGCAAGAGAGAAGAAGCGCTTGCCTAAGGCGACAGAAAGTAAGGAACGGCGGTTGCGGTCGCGATCGTTAAGAACAACTTTCTCCAGACCCTCCACTCCACTTTCGCTAGATGGAGGTGAGCGAGGCGGAGAGAGCGATAGCTCAGCCTCTATAGGGTCGGAGAGGGAAACACGGGGGCAGTCGCGGAAGCGCGGGCGACACGATGATGAGGACGGAACTGGAAATGCGAAGCGGGCACACAGTGTCAGTGACTCAAACCAGCCGAGTTCAGCAGAGGTTGGCGCCAAAATGCTGCTAAGTCTGGCTAATGTCGAGGAGACATTGGACAGACCACGCTGCACGAAGGCGGAGGTAATGAGCTCCATTCGTCGGGCCCTGCAGACTCTGCGGGACGGCGTGAAGGAGCTCTGCACCAGGGCGGTGTCACGTGAGCACGAGGAGGCGTCCGTACAGAACCAGGCGTCATCATCGTCGCTGGCGGACAGGGTGAGCGATCTCCAACAGACCCGGACAAAGTCAATGGCGCCATCTTCGGCGGTGCTGCGGAGCTCGCCGGCTCTAAGGGTGGCGGAAACGATCCCGCTGCCTCCGTCGACGGTGGAACTAGGGCCGAAAATGAGCCCGCTGGGACCACTGACCCATCCGGTAAGGGAGGACCACCTGGACTGGG